AAAATGATATATAAATCATCACTCGAATATCACAAATAAGGAAAATACGCNATTTAAGAAATCTCTATAAAAAATCTTTTAAAATGAGCCCAAACATCACTATACTATCTTTAAAAACAACGTAGATACGATTATTTTAAAATTACGATTGTCGATTGTTTTTTTTATTAATATTGAGTATATCTTAGGTAATATTTAAGATAATTAGGTCGTGTTTGGACTCATTTTAAAGCATTTTTTGTTTCCTATAACAAAATTAACACGAAATAACTTTTCGGGTCATCAACTTCCGGTTTTTACGATTTTAACTCGATTTAATTACTTAATAAATTAATCGGGTTTATTTTTGTTTTAATTCTTAGTTCTTCATAATTCATCAACGAAAAAAATTAATCATATTCTAAAATTATGACAGGTTAGGTTGATGTAATTTTTTAAAAATTGTTTTTAATTATTAAAAATTATTAATCTCTATAAAAAATCTTTTAAAATGAGCCCAAACATCACTATATTATCTTTAAAAACAACGTAGATACGATTATTTTAAAATTACGATTGTCGATTGTTTTTTTTATTAATATTGCGTATATCTTAGGTGATATTTAAGATAATTAGGTCGTGTTTGGACTCATTTTAAAGCATTTTTTATTTCCTATAACAAAATTAACACGAAATGAATTTTCGGGTTATCAACTTCCGGTTTTTACGATTTTAACTCGTATTTAGTTACTTAATAAATTAATCGGGTTTACTTTCGTTTTAATTCTTAGTTCTTCATAATTCATCAACGAAAAAAATTAATCATATTCTAAAATTATGACAGGTTAAGTTGATGTAATATTTTAAAAATTGTTTTTAATTATTAAAAATTATTAATCTCTATAAAAAATCTTTTAAAATGAGCCCAAACATCACTATACTATCTTTAAAAACAACGTAGATACGATTATTTTAAAATTACGATTGTCGATTGTTTTTTTTATTAATATTGAGTATATCTTAGGCAATATTTAAGATAATTAGGTCGTGTTTGGACTCATTTTAAAGCATTTTTTATTTCCTATAACGAAATTAACACGAAATAACTTTTCGGGTTATCAACTTCCGGTTTTTGCGATTTTAACCCGTGTTTAGTTACTTAATAAATTAATCGGGTTTATTTTCGTTTTAATTCTTAATTCTTTATAATTTATTAACAGAATAAATTAAAAAAAAATTAACCATATTCTAAAATTAAGATAGGTTAGGTTGATGTAATTTTAAAAAATCTCCATAAAAAATCCTTTAAAATGAGCCCAAACACCACTACTTTATCTTTAAAAGCAACGAAGATACGATCATTTCAACATTACGATCATCATTTGTTTTTATTATTTTTTTAATTAATATCTCGCGTGCTTTTTAAGATAACCCCGTCGTGTTTGGGCTCATTTTAAAGCATTTTTCATCTCCTACAAGAAAATGAGCACGAAATTAATTTTTTTAAATTTTGACTTCCGGTTTTTACGTTTTCGCTCGTATCTCGGTCGTTTTTGAAGATAAACTGGTCGTGTTTGTACTCAAATTAAACGATTTTTAATTCTTTACAAGATCACATCGATGAAATCGATCACTTTTTATTTTGTTAATCATAAATGTTGCGAATTAAGTTTTTAATATGAATTTATGTTGATTTGATGCACTAATTGATACAGATTTTTTGTCAAGTCTTCTCGGAAACCCCTAATTGCCATGCGAATTCGTAAAAGTGGAGCGCCGCAGACAGACAGAGAGACAGAGGCAGGTCCCCTCGTAAATCTCACTTTATTTTCCGACCCTTTGTCGCTGTTAATTACGTTCATCATCAACTGAGATCGTTAGAGCGTTACCAGTTATGAATCCGCTCCATACACGTTATTGGACAACTGATACACAATGTGGAGGTCTCTGCGAGTCTAATCAAAACCTCTCGCGAGCTTTCGTTTAACATCACCAATCTGGAGTTGATGATATTAATGAATTAGAGATATTATTTGATTTGTCGCTAAATTGGGAATAAATATTTTAGATTTTCTAATAAAGGATGAAATGAATTGATAAAATAGGTGGAATTAATTTAAATCGCAAACTCGTTTCGACATCTAATTTGAAATAGTGACCGAACATAGAGCGCGCGGTGCATTACATGAGGGACCTGGTTTCACGAAATCAAATTTCCAATATTAAATGAAACAAAAAGCAATTACCGACCATAAAATAAACAAATTCGCCGCTTCCTTGTTAAACGTTCAAAACGCATTAACGTCCGTTAAAAAGTGCACGGTTGGCTGTGCGTCCGATAAACGCAACTCTCGCCGTTACGTTTATTAATATATATTTTCGGGTGGTCCAAAATCGAATTAATAATATCGCCCAATGACGGCTCGTTAATTTATTCGACGTTATTTATCGTCGTTCGCAACCGGGGTCCCGAATCAATAAATACTGCACGCGTGATGCGCCCCTGCATCACGGCTAATTGCAAATCTATTTCGCAAAATAGCCACGCGTCGTGTCAATCCATTTTTCAGCTTTTTTTACAGTCGATTCTGAAAAATGCTCGCAGAAAAATATTGCATCGACGCGCCATCTCTACGCGAAGAGTGAAATTTGACGATGAAACTTTTTTCGGGCAGATTTTTTCTGGATCTCGTTACAGATCGTGTCGGTAAAAATGTTTAAAAAAACAATTTATGTTATTTATTTTTCTCGCCATATTTACACAGCTTAAATATTTCGATTTTAGGGGATGTCGTGACTACTATTTCTGATTGTCACCACGTGCTTCCTGTTGGTTTGTTTATCGTGGGAGTAAAAGAGCCCAAAAATAATAACCCACGGCTGTTTTGTTTTGTTTTTGATACATAAATTTCCTCAATAACTTCCTTCGAGGTGGTCTAAATGTCAAAAAAATGAAGAAAATCACAATCTTGTCTTGGTCTCCCTATTGTCTTGGTTTAAAACATTATCCTTTAATGGTAGGGTGGGTTTAGTTGGTCCAAGCTAGGGCATTGGGGTTCCGACGTTCAAATAAGGGTAAGATATTAAAGCAAAAGGGTTGGATTTAGAACAGTGGCGGCGAGAGTCCGGCAAGCCGGACCCCCGTTTGGAATATATATGAGCCTGGGGGAAAATGGGGGTGGATCGTTCCAGAATTACCCTCTCTTGCACAGGCTGTTATCTACAAAGGACGAATTTGTCCGCAAGATTTATTACGGACCCCCTACAGGTCGCGGTGGAGCGCTATGATTTAATGAATTCAAACCGAGGACATAAAAAGTTGCAATTTTTGGGTAAAATCTTAAAATGAAGATATTTTCCGTCACGTCCTCGTTTCCAACCCCTTCTGTTCTATTCTATTGTAATTAAACTAACGACGTTCGAGGGTCCGAGCGTAAAAATGCACGTGGCCCCTTTCTGTTCGTCTCCCCTCAGGATACACGTTTTCGACGCGTTCATTTTGCTTGACCACCCTCGACCGTTTTAATAAAGAACCAAGCCAATGTGTCTAAACCCTACAGATTTTCCCTGTATGTATCCTTGTATGGTATTCGTTGTCACAGAGTACTGATTTATACGGATTTCCACTGAGCAGTTCGTTAATTAACAATTTTTTAAACTTTGAGTTCAGTCAAAGATTTCTTTATAATTTATAGATTTAAGTAAAGCGTTTCACAATCTACTAGTTTTCAAAAAAATTTGTGTAATAAATATACCACCTATTATGTGTCATTTTAAAGATTAAGATTTCAGCTTTAAATTGATGCATAAATCATCACTTTAATTTCATAAATAAGATAAATACGATTGTTTAAACTTTGGGTTAGGTTATTTTTTTNTTAAAATGAGCCCAAACACCACTATATTATCTTTAAAAACAACGTAGATACGATTATTTTAAAATTACGATTGTCGATTGTTTTTTTTATTAATATTGAGTATATCTTAGGCAATATTTAAGATAATTAGGTCGTGTTTGGACTCATTTTAAAGCATTTTTTATTTCCTATAACGAAATTAACACGAAATAACTTTTCGGGTCATCAACTTCCGGTTTTTACGATTTTAACTCGATTTAATTACTTAATAAATTAATCGGATTTATTTTTGTTTTAACTGATTCTTAATTCTTTATAATTCATCAACAAAAAAAATTTTAAAAAAATTAATCATATTCTAAAATTATGATAGGTTAGGTTGATGTCATTTTTTAAAAATTGCCTTTAATTGTTAAAAATTATTAATCTCCATAAAAAATCCTTTAAAATGAGCCCAAACACCACTATATTATCTTTAAAAACAACGTAGATACGATTATTTTAAAATTACGATTGTCGATTGTTTTTTTATTAATATTGCGTATATCTTAGGTAATATTTAAGATAATTAGGTCGTGTTTGGACTCATTTTAAAGCATTTTTTATTTCCTATAACAAAATTAGCACGAAATAACTTTTCGGGTCATCAACTTCCGGTTTTTACGATTTTAACTCGTATTTAGTTACTTAATAAATTAATCGGGTTTATTTTCGTTTTAATTCTTAGTTCTTCATAATTCATCAACGAAAAATATTAATCATATTCTAAAATTATGACAGGTTAGGTTGATGTAATTTTTTAAAAATTGCGTTTAATTATTAAAAATTATTAATCTCTATAAAAAATCTTTTAAAATGAGCCGAAACACCACTATATTATCTTTAAAAACAACGTAGATACGATTATTTTAAAATTACGATTGTCGATTGTTTTTTTTATTAATAATGAGTATATTTTAGGTAATATTTAAGATAATTAGGTCGTGTTTGGACTCATTTTAAAGCATTTTTTATTTCCTATAACAAAATTAATACCAAATAACTTTTCGGGTTATCATCAACTTCCGGTTTTTACGATTTTAAATGTTTAAAGTTGTCGTTCTTTTTAATTCCAAAAATATTTAACGAAGAATAAATTGAATCTAAGTTTCATTTATTATAAACAAATAATAATTCCAAAATCCCCACACCACAAAAAACAAAAAAAATTAATTGTTTATTCTTGTAGCTTCTTCAACGATGCATTTAACAGCTTTAAACACCAACTCACAATCATCGTTATCATCGACGGTGGTGCATTTTCGAATATCCAAAGTACCACCTTGCGGGGTATTCACAACGGATGATTGAATGTTAATTTTTCGATCGACGAAATAATTTTCTTGCTCCATCATACACTTAATCATACATTTTACGTTTCGATCGATTGCTTTTTGGGCTGTTAATAAACCAATTAGTGATTGATTGTTTGAGAAATCATTTAAAATCGCATTGTTTACGTTAAATTGGCTCGCACATCTTTGAGCGTGCCGAATCACGTTTGCTAACAGAAAATTACTCTACAAGTCAAAGTTATATATAAAAAAATATAATTAATGAGTTAAATTAAAAAATTACCTGCATATCTTGAGAGTAACCCCGGAAAAGAAAACCGAGAAGTAAGAGTAAAACCATCTTTGCCATTTTTTTTTATATTTAGATTTGTAGCTTGGTGGGTGTTTGATATAAATGTTATGAAATTAAATGTAGTTGAGGATTTTATATGAATACTCGCCTTTTGTGTGAAACTCAATAAACAGGAAGCTTTTGGTCATAAAAGAAAAAATTGCGTAATAATTTAAGTTTAAAAAACAATTTTTTATGTTAAATGCATAATGTAAAATAATACAACTAAAAAAATCGTAACAACAAGATTTATTTCAATAAACAAATAACTTTTTTTGTGTTGATTTTGGGTTAAATTTGCTTTAAAATGCTTTTTGTTTCATCACGATATCTTAATTCATTCTTGAGATAAAAATTCTTAAGATTCATCATTATCGAGTGAATTTCTAGGATTATAGAGATGAATTCAAAAAATCGCAACATCAAGATTTATGAATATGGAAAAATAATTTTTGCTGTGTTGATTTTTGATTAAATTTGCTTTAAAATGCTTTTTATTTCATCGCGAAATCTTCATTCGTTCTTGAGATACGATTTTTTTTAAATTAATGACAGAATTGTTTAAAGTTTTTGTTCTTTACAACTTAAATAATTCGCGAAAAATCCATTTTTTCGACAATTTCGTTCAAATTTTTATGACTTATGCAGAAAAGAGTCTGCTTTTTAATATCTCGTTTAGTTCTAGAGATATAAATGTTTCAAGTATTTGATGTTTTTAACTTTGGAAGTATTTTCTCAAAAACTTAAAAAATTTGCGAAAAATCCATTTCTTCGATAATTTCCACTAAATTTTCATGACTTATACAGAAAAGAGTCTACTTTTTAATGAAAACTTCCCCTTTTAAATATCTCGTTTAGTTCTCGAGATAGAAAGCTTTAAAGTTTTTATTCTCTTCAATTTTAAAAATATCTTCTAGTTAACTTAAAAAATTCGCGAAAAATCCATTTTTTTTGTTAATTTCCATCAAATTTTTACAACATATACAGAAAAATGTCTACTTTTTAATAAAAACTTTCGCTTGTAAATATCTGGTTTAGTTCTTGAGATAGAAATATTTCAAGTATTTGATGTTTTTAACTTTGGAAGTATTTTCTCAACAACTTAAAAAATTCGCGAAAAATCCATTTCTTCGATAATTTCCACCAAATTTTCATGACTTATACAGAAAAGAGTCTACTTTTTAATGAAAATTTCCCCTTTTAAATATCTCGTTTAGTTCTCGAGATATAAATCTTGAAAGTTGTTGTTCTCTTTAATTTTAAAAATTTTTTCTAGATAACTTAAAAAATTCGCGATAAATCCATTTTTTCCTTAATTTCCATCAAATTTTCACAACATATACAGAAAAATGGCTACTGAGTAGCTGATTACAACTCTTTTAAGTTGTCCTTTTAGGTTGTACATCTTCTTATGACAATTTTTGATTTTTTTAGTATTTACAGCATAACTATTAGTATTATTTAGTGTTCTGCATCACTATTTTGTTTTCCACCCATCATCTAGTCTCCGATCAGAAGTATCTAGTCTTCTGCCAGTTGTAGCTAGTCTTCTGGAAGCAGTATTTAATCTTCTGAAGCAGTGTTTAGTCTCTGGAAGCTGTATTTAGTGTTCTGCAAGTAGAATCTAGTCCAACATTAATATTATCTAGTCTTCTGCCATCAATATTTGTCTTTTACCTAGCAACTAGTCTTCGTCTAGAAGTATCTAGTCTTCTACCAGCTGTATTTAGTCTTTTGGAAGCACTATTTAGTTTTCTGGAAGCAATAGTAAGTGTTTTGGAAGTAGTATCTAGCCAGTATGGTGATAAAATATTACACTAAAAATATAAAGTTTGAGAACTACTGCTTTAAACTGATTAGGTGAAATGTTAATTCCTTTCTTTTTCCTTTTTACAATGAGAGACAGTAAAGGTTTAAAGTCTATTACAATTTAAAAACAAAATGAAAAAAGATCAATGATGGAAATTGGATTATTAAAGTTNAATTTAAATTTGGCAATTTAATAAAAAAGTTACAAGTTTTTTAATTTTATTGTTTTGTTTAAAAATGAAACCGAAGTTTTTCTTAGTAAATATGAAGTTGATATGAATACTGTTTGTCTAGAAATGGTTAAAAATAGGATTTAATTTTCTTGGTAAAACAGAAGAAATACTGTGTAATGGTTATTTTCAGGAAACACTTGGATACAGCTGTCTCTCCGGGTGCAGGACGCGGTTTCCTTTCCCGAACTTTCCAGGTTAATTTTAGTCTTTTATGCCCGATATTGTGTTTCGTGCTTATTTCAGAAATGAAAAGATTTTCTCAAAAAAATCTTTGATGGTTGTAGTGATAGATTTGATAATAATAACAACTACTCGGAGATAATAGTTAGTAGCCTAAATAGGGGGTTGACAACCAGTTATTAAATGTATAGGCGCGGTGGATGGAACTCAAAATTAATCGTTATTGTTAATTATTGGTAATGCTTGCTGGCGAGTGTGAACCAAATTGCTTTCTATTGCTGTACATAATTGATTTGAATTAATTGTGGTTACTTTATTATTCATTTAGACGAGAAATTTTTAAATAAATATTTGATGATTTGGAGTTAAAAAAATAAATAAAATCGGTGTTAAAGGATAACTTATCCTGGGTAAACCATCGAATACCCATAGAGTAAAACACGTCGAGGTAAAAAAAATGAAAATAAACCCCATACACCAAAACGTAGCCTCTCCCCTCTTTAACGCCCAGCTTTCTCTCCCTTTCTACTCGTTCATATGTGACGCTTGCGTGGATAGATCGCGCCATCTCTGTTCAACACCAGCAAATACTTCAAACCGCATAGCGTTAACCCGTCCCTCTCGAATCGCGGGGAATCCCCATGGCGTCGTCCTTCGTTGCGATGAGGCCCGGCCCGCTAAAACCGCAACATCGGTCGTCTCTCTTACACTACACTCGTTGTACGGGCGGAAGTGTCCTCGTCAGATGCATACCCCTTTATGTACCGCTTCTATTTTAATCTACGGTATAGGGATCTCTTTCCGTTGAACGAGTCGCGCGGCTAGCGTTGTCTTTGTTTTGGGTTTCCCCTGATAACCGAAGGGGTTATCAGCGCAGCCCGTCCTGAAAGGCTTCTCAGTCCAATGCTGAAATCCTATTTCTGTGTACCCCCGAAACGATGTTCTAGAGTCGAAATAGGGCCGCAAAGCACATGGCCCCGCGACACCAACGCGAAGTGTTGTTTGACCAATTTTCGAAATCGGGAAATTAAGTTGGAACAAAAAATTCGACAAAACAAAAAAAAAAATAAATAATACGCCGTCGGACGTCGATTAAGTGGTGAAAAAGTGAATCTCTCGATTTGGGACGTCGTTTAGCTGAGGATTAACTAAATAGGTGAGCGGATTTTTTTTCGCGTGACAAGCGAAATGCGAAAAAATTGACCCCGCCTACGCATACTACGAGGGTGAAAGTTTTCATTCAGAAAAAGTGTTGACAGCCGTTTCGGTTGCCTGGCAACGACCGGGTGAGGCATGAATGCGTTTTTTCTAACCTACTACGATAATTCCTGTTGTTTTTTAAACCTTCTCCGCCGGGAAACTTTGAATTTATAATTTTTTCCTAAATTACGTATAAACCAATTAATTTATGTCAACAACTTGCTAAATCACTCCAGTTAAATTTACAAATAATTTTCAATGGCAAAACTATACTATATTCTTGAAGTAACCAATTCCTGTTATTTACAAACTTTGATGTTTGTCGCAGCGTTAGCATTGCCTAAACACTGCAAGTGCTGCTTTTCCTAAAAGAAGTTAATATAATTATATCTGGATATATTTGGAATAATATACAAGTTGAGTTAGGCTTGGCCATAAAATATTTACCTCAGCTTTGTTTTGCCAATTTTGCCCAGCACTGTATAGAAATAATTCTATCATGGATAGCTGTGAATTAAAAGATCAACAAAACTTGCTAATAAAAACTTAGCTAATTTATAATCATACATTTTTTGATCGTCTAAACAATTATGCCTAGTAAAGTATCGGTACTTGATTTCTCGAATATCTTTTGAACAAACATTAAACTAAGGATCGTGCATCACCACATCCTCTAACGATCTATGGGACGATACTACCATAGAAGTAAAAATTCCAAATGAAGGAAATTTTTTTGCCTCAACATACTTGTTGTTGCACAATTAACAGAGGACTAGTTTATACGCAAAATGACCTCACAATGAATNTTCTCTATCACCTTTAGTTTTCTACTTATAACAGAATTTAACGCAGATGATTGTCAATTTTGATATTTTGAGAATTCCTGGCTTGAACCATGCTTGAACCTAAGAAATGGTGATATCTATGGTGGCATTAACTACGAATTATGTTATCTTGATCCATTATCATCAACTTTTATAAGAAAACTTTCTGTATCACTTTTATGATTTCTTGATGATTGTCAATTTTGATATTTTGGGATTTCCAATTACGCAAACGATTTTGCTAAGAATTGAGCTTCTTTTAAAACAATGTGCTGCAAATTGTGAATAGCATTGAAGAAGCCAAGGTCTAAAACTTTCAAATCAGAACTATTCGGTGGCTGTAAATTGAATTTAATACATCATCCATCTCTTGATCCTTCAGCCAGCAATTCTGCATCGTTTTCATAAGAATGCGGTGTTGCATTATCTTGTTGAACGTAAATTGTCTTGGTTTTATGCGCTTTTGGGAATTTAGATCCAATGGCTGGTAAAACGTTATCGATAATCATCTTTTTACATTTTGCTGTGTTAATAGACTCAATTTTTTTGGTAACCATTGTTCTGTTTTACTCGGTTCTTGCTGTTTCTTTTTGCAGGTTCTTTATAAACAAAAGGCCTTAGTCCTATTTTGCCGTTGAAATACTGAATATCATTATAAGGACTAAGATTTCAGCTTTAAATTGATATATAAATCATCATTTCAATATCACAAATACGGTAAATGCGCTTTTTTAAACTTTGAGTTAGGTTAAAGATAAATTTTGTATTTTTTGGGTTTAAGTCAAAACGCAGATATTTACATTTTATTTTTTTTCTCCAAACTTTTTATAATAAATATATCACATGTTATATATCATTTTAAAGATTAAGATTTCAGCTTTAAATTGATATATAAATCATCACTTCAATATCACAAATACGGTAAATACGCTTTTTTAAACTTTGGGTTAGGTTATTTTTTTTTGTATTAAATCAAAACATAGAGTTTTACATTTTCCTTGTTTTCTCGAAATTTTGTATATTAAATATACCACAAATTATATATCATTTTAAAGATTAAGATTTCAGCTTTAAATTGATATATAAATCATCACTATAATATCACAAATAAGGAAAATACGCTTTTTTAAACTTTGAGTTAGGTTAAAGTTAAATTTTGTATTTTTTGGGTTTAAGTCAAAACGTAGATATTTACATTTTATTTTTTTTCTCAGAACTTTTTATAATAAATATATCGCATATTATATATCATTTCAAAGATTAAGATTTCAGCTTTAAATTGATACATAAACCATTACTTCAATTTCATAAATATGGTAAATACGATTGTTTGAACTTTGGGTTAGGTTACAGATTTATTTGTATTAAATCAAAATGTAGAGTTTTACATTTTAGTTGTTTTCGTGAAATTTTTTATATTATATATACCACAAATTATATATCATTTTAAAGATTAAGATTTTAGCTTTAAAATAATATATAAATCATCGCTCGAATATCACAAATAAGGAAAATACGCTTTTTTAAACTTTGAGTTAGGTTAAAGATAAATTTTGTATTTTTTGGGTTTAAGTCAAAACGTAGATATTTACATTTTATTTTTTTTCTCAGAACTTTTTATAATAAATATATCGCATATTATATATCATTTTAAAGATTAAGATTTCAGCTTTAAATTGATATATAAATCATCACTCCAATATCACAAATAAAGTAAATACGCTTTTTTAAACTTTGAGTTAGGTTAAAGATAAATTTTGTATTTTTTGGGTTTAAGTCAAAACGCAGATATTTACATTTTATTTTTTTTCTCAAAATTTTTTTTAATAAATATACCACATATTATATATCATTTTAAAGATTAAGATTTCAGCTTTAAATTGATACATAAATCATCACTTCAATTTCATAAATAAGGTAAATACGATTGTTTAAACTTTGGGTTAGGTTATTTTTTTTTGTATTAAATCAAAACGTAGAGTTTTACATTTTACTTGTTTTCTCGAAATTTTCTATATTAAATATACCACAAATTATATATCATTTTAAAGATTAAGATTTTAGCTTTAAAATGATATATAAATCATCACTCCAATATCACAAATAAAGTAAATACACTTTTTTAAACTTTGAGTTAGGTTAAAGATAAATTTTGTATTTATTGAATTTAAGTCAAAACGCAGAGTTTTACATTTTAAGTTTTTTCATAATTCGATCGAACCCAAAATATACAAATTTTGGGTTTAAGTCAAAACGCAGAGTTTTACATTTTACTTTTTTTCTCGAAATTTTTTATATTAAATATACCACAAATTATATATCATTTTAAAGATTAAGATTTTAGCTTTAAGTTGATATATAAATCATCACTTCAATTTCATAAATAAGGTAAATACGATTGTTTAAACTTTAAGTTAGGTTAAAGTTAAATTTTGTATTTTTTGGCTTTAGTTTTCTACTTATAACAGAATTTAACGCAGATGATTGTCAATTTTGATATTTTGAGAATTCCTGGCTTGAACCATGCTTGAACCTAAGAAATGGTGATATCTATGGTGGCATTAACTACGAATTATGTTATCTTGATCCATTATCATCAACTTTTATAAGAAAACTTTCTGTATCACTTTTATGATTTCTTGATGATTGTCAATTTTGATATTTTGGGATTTCCAATTACGCAAACGATTTTGCTAAGAATTGAGCTTCTTTTAAAACAATGTGCTGCAAATTGTGAATAGCATTGAAGAAGCCAAGGTCTAAAACTTTCAAATCAGAACTATTCGGTGGCTGTAAATTGAATTTAATACATCATCCATCTCTTGATCCTTCAGCCAGCAATTCTGCATCGTTTTCATAAGAATGCGGTGTTGCATTATCTTGTTAAACATAAATTGTCTTGGCTTTATGGGCTTTTGGGAATTTAGATCTAATGGCTGGTAAAACGTTATCGATAATCATCTTTTTGCATTCTACTGTGTTAATAGACTCGATGTTTTTGGTCACAATTGTTCCTCTTGCCCGGTTCTTGCTGTTTGTTTTTGCAGGTTCTTTATAAACAAAAAGCCATAGTCGTATTTTGCCGTTGCAATACTGTTTTTAGTTATGAACCGTTTGCTTTTGCAGCGCCTTTCTGGTTCTGCTTCGTTTTTACGTCTCTTTAGTACATTTCGTGACAAATATCTTCTATAGTTTTGACACAATAGGTATTTCGTAATTAAATTAAGATTACATTAGATTATGTTAAATAGACAGAAACTCATTAATTCTTCAAACTTATCTTAATTCATAAATTTTAGAGAAATGTATACCATAATTTGAGACAGAGGGAATATCATTATAAAGATTAAGATTTCAGCTTTAAATTGATATATAAATCATCATTTCAATATCACAAATACGGTAAATGCGCTTTTTTAAACTTTGAGTTAGGTTAAACATAAATTTTGTATTTTTTGGGTTTAAGTCAAAACGCAGATAATTACATTTTATTTTTTTTCTCAAAACTTTTTATAATAAATATATCACATATTATATATCATTTTAAAGATTAAGATTTCAGCTTTAAATTGATACATAAATCATNTTTGATTTAATACAAAAAAAAATAACCTAACCCAAAGTTTAAACAATCGTATTTATCTTATTTATGGAATTAAAGTGATGATTTATGTATCAATTTAAAGCTGAAATCTTAATCTTTAAAATGATATATAATTTGTGGTATATTTGATATAAAAAATTTCAAGAAAACGAGTAAAATGTAAAACTCTACGTTTTGATTTAATACAAAAAAAAAATAACCTAACCCAAAGTTTAAACAATCGTATTTACCTTATTTATGGAATTAAAGTGATGATTTATATATCAATTTAAAGCTGAAATCTTAATCTTTAAAATGATATATAATTCGAACTTTCCCAATCGTTGATATCTCATCAAGAGAACATTAAGAAAAAGCTTTAAAATGTGTGTGCCTACTTTTCAAACTTTCGCGATTATTGACAATATCTGAGAAAGATAACATTAAAAAAATGTGTACTTAAGCTAGTGCCTCGGCCGCAAGCGACCTCGGCTTCTCGATCATCAATGATATACAGTGTGTTAATTAATTATCGTACCCGACGTCATCATTGCAAGTATGCAACCAATATCACGGTGCAATACGCATCATACGCAAATCGCGTATTGCAATAAAAATACTGTGATATTGGTTGCATACTTTCAATGACGAAAAAACATTAAAATGTGTGTACCTAGTCTAAATAAATCAATAAATTATTTTTGTTTCAGAATTTGAAATTTAAGAATCACCAAGAGAATAAGCATTACATAAACAATGTGAGTTTTGGAATAATCTCAAAAGAAAACTCTTAAGCTATCCATAATAAATGATAACTTTTCGACTACATGTTCGGTGATTTTAATTCATCCCCAACGACGACGACGACGACATCAACGGTTTCAACCACCATGCACCTGACGTCCACGACGCAAACAACAACCGGTTCGGCGGCATCTCCTGAAGGAACCAACGTCATCAATGATACATACACGAAGATGACGTCGGATATACTTGCTGAAAGAACCCTTAATGATTTCCTCTCGGAACATCCGGGTGAACTCATACGGACGGGAAGTCCGTTGTTCGTGTGTACAGTGCTACCGCCACATTGGCGATCGAATAAAACACTTCCGGTTGCATTTAAGGTGGTCGCTTTGGGCGATATCGGTGATGGAACTGTCGTGACAGTGCGTGCAGGTAACGATGAGAACTATTGTGCCGAATTGAGAAATTGTACTGCTGTTATGAAGAATCAAGTGGCTAAGTTTAACGATTTAAGGTTCGTTGGAAGAAGTGGAAGAGGTAAGTTTAAAAATTCATTTAAGATTTCGGCGATTTGAATGCGCGATTTCGTAAGAAAAGACACTCCCCCAATCCGAATCCGAATCCCAACCTAACCTAACGGAGAACTTTTCCGGAGTTTTCTTGGTAACCGCCCTAGACGTCGTCCCTTTCGCAGGAATTCGCAGGACAAGTCGGTAGGAATTTTCCCACGCCAGCCCGAAACGTCGTCTCGCGCATGGCAAAAAGTGAATAACGTAGCCGTCGGCTACACCGGAAACGTGGCAACAGTTTATGGAAGTTAATCCTGCGTAAAATAAGCTCTGTCACTTTACCAGTATATATGCAGGAAAAGGGTCGAGGAGAAAAAGTGAAATGAAATGACGTGCCGCAGAGCCTAATCGGGCGCGTCGGACTTTTTTAATAAAAACTTTCGGATTCGCAGGATTAAACGGCTTCGGGGTCGATTTCGACAGGACGAAGGAGAACGTCGCTTTAGTTTTGTTTATTTTTTTGTTGTATTACTTGTTTTGCTTGCTTTTGACCAACTCGACCCTTACTGCTCCTTTTTAATTCGTCCTTCGGTCGGTTTTTCCGTTTATTCCAACCCTTTAAAGTCACGTTTACTCTGTCCCTGTGGGGATTTGTTTGCGATTTAGGATTGACTTTGTTTCTTTTTGATTTTTTTTTGTGGGATTAATGCCATTTTTAACTTTGCCTTTTAAAAGTTTTTTAATACAAAACAACTCTATTTATTCTTAATTTATTATCAGCATATTTATAGTGAGTAGACGGTATTGTAGAGATTATGTCAAGTATACGTGTGTTTATCAATTATATTAAGAAATGTTTCAAATATTAATTGTTTAAAATGAAGTTTTTAACAATTTTTCTTAATAACTTTTTTTGGTATTTCCATTAAATAACACAGTACACTGATTCACTAATTCTGTAAAAACCGTAATTATCGAAAAATGTTTCAAATAAAAATTGCTTAAAATTAGATTTATAACAACTTTTCTTAATAACATTTTTTGATATTTTCGTAAAATAAGTCTCTACACTGATTCACTAATTTCCAAAAAATAGTAATTATCGATTTTATCGAAAAATGTTTCAAATAAAAATTGCTTGGAATTAGATTTATAACAACTTTTCTTAATAACATTTTTTGTTATTTTCATAAAATAAGTCCCTCCACTGATTCACTAATTCTCAAAACGATTTTATTAAAAAAATTTTTCAAATAAAAGTTGTTTAAAATTAGATTTATAACAACTTTTCTTAATAACATTTTTTGATATTTTCATAAAATAAGTCTCTACACTGATTCACTAATTTCCAAGAAATTGCAATTATTGGTTCTACCGAAAAATGTTTCAAATAAAAATTGCTTGAAATTGTATTTGTAACAGCTTTTGTTAATAACATTTTTTGATATTTTCATAAAATAGGTCTCTACACTGATTCACTAATTTCCAAGAAATTGTAATTATTGATTTTATCGAAAAATGTTTCAAATAGAAATTGCTTGAAATTGGAATTATAACAACTTTTCTTAATAACATTTTTTAATATTTTCATAAAATAAGTCTCTCCACTGATTCACTAATTCTCAAAACAATTTTATCAAAAAATGTTTTAAGTAAAAGTTGTTTAAAATTAGATTTATAACAACTATTCTTAATAAAACTTTTTGATATTTTCATAAAATAAGTCTCTTCACTGATTCACTAATTTCCAACGAACGGTAATTATCAACTTTATCGAAAAATGTTCCAAATAAAAATTGTTTAAAATTAGATTTATAACAACTTTTCTTAATACATTTTTTTGATATTTTATAAAATAAGTCTCTACACTGATTCACTAATTTCCAAGAAATTGCAATTATCGGTTTTATCGAAAAATGTTTCAAATAAAAACTGCTTGGAATTAGATTTATAACAACTTTTCTTAATAACATTTTTTGTTATTTTCATAAAATAAGTCCCTCTACTGATTCACTAATTCTCAAAACGATTTTATCAAAAAAAATTTTCAAATAAAAGTTGTTTAAAGTTAGATTTATAACAACTTTTCTTAATAAAACTTTTAGATATTTTCATAAAATAAGTCTCTACACTGATTCACTAATTTCCAAGAAATTGCAATTATTGGTTCTACCGAAAAATGTTTCAAATAAAAATTGCTTGAAATTGTATTTGTAACAGCTTTTGTTAATAACATTTTTTGATATTTTCATAAAATAGGTCTCTACACTGATTCACTAATTTCCAAGAAATTGTAATTATCGATTTTATCGAAAAATGTTTCAAATAGAAATTGCTTGAAATTGGAATTATAACAACTTTTCTTAATAACATTTTTTAATATTTTCATAAAATAAGTCTCACTACTGATTCACTAATTCTCAAAACAATTTTATCAAAAAATGTTTTAAGTAAAAGTTGTTTAAAATTAGATTTATAACAACTTTTCTTAATAAAACTTTTTAATATTTTCATAAAATAAGTCTCTTCACTGATTCACTAATTTCCAACAAACGGTAATTATCAACTTTATCGAAAAATGTATCAAATAAAAATTGCTTAAAATTAGATTTATAACAACTTTTCTTAATAAAACTTTTTGAAATTTTTATAAAATAAGTCTCTACACTGATTCACTAATTTTCAAAACAAGGTTATTATCAATTTTATCAAAAAACGTTTCAAATAAAAACTGCTTGAAATTAGATTTATAACAACTTTTCTTAATAAATTTTTTTGATATTTTCATAAAATAAGTTTCTACACTTATTCACTAATTTTCAAAACAGGGTAATTGTTGATTTTATCAAAAAATGTTTCAAATAAAAGTTGTTTAAAATTAGATTTATAACAACTTTTCTTAATAAAACTTTTTGATATTTTCATAAAATAAGTCTCTTCACTGATTCACTAATTTCCAAGAAATTGTAATTATCGATTTTATCGAAAAATGTTTTAAATAAAAGTTGTTTAAAATTCGATTTATAACAACTTTTCTTGATAAATTTTGTTAATAATTTTTTTAAATGATTCTTAATGTGTTTGTTTATTCCTAATTTGTTACATAAAAATGAATATACCATTAAACTTGTTAGTGGAAACCTTTTCTACTCCGATATTACGGTGATTACGTCCAGTATACGTTTCGGTGCCAGTATATGTCGCCTAATAGGTTATCGTACAACATTTAACGCGAAATTTACAGCAGGTAGTGCAGACGTTCCCCGCAAATAAAGCCGACCCATGGGGATGATATTCACCATGGCTGCCACTGCCCGTGTAGTTAATTCGATGCCATCGAAAATGAACGCGTGTACTCGACAAGAGGGGTGAAGCTATTTATGATGTTGAAACATAAATCGATAACAGAGTTAAAGAACATTAAAAAGAGATTATTTCAAAATTTTTCTTTAATCTGATTAATATCAAAAAAGAAATCTAACATTGCGTGATTTTCTAGTGCACGAAGTGCGAAGGGATAATAATCAAGGACTTAGTTAGGTAGCTTTAAAAGCACGCAACCTCATTATGAGGTGGTGCCAGGTACCACAAAGCTACTTTTAACTCGTTGTTAGAATCTCACGAAATATATTCAATATTCAAAAGATACATGTTCAAATAAAACTGCACAAAAAAGTTGAAACATGAAAGTGAAATTCATGGAACGATGTAGAGAGGACCGAAAAAAGCGTTGAATAAAAATAATCGATGAATTTAAAAGTGGCTGGATGTAGCGGCGGTGTGTTTGAGGTATCACGCAAACCCTAATAGCGGGGGTTAAACACATCAAGTAGTGCACATTTTTCACCGGGCCTCGTTCACCTCTATATGTACGTTGGCGAGTCGTGGTGTGCACGTGTGTGTGTACACGTGCTAATGCCAAACGACGAGTAGAGAGCAGAGTAAAACCTGTGTGTGTGTGTATTCGGGGGAAAATGGAGCGAAAGCTCGCGTAAAAAAGCTGGTATCGATCGGTAAAAATGGAACTGTAGAACGCAAATTTGCGGCCGAATTTTGGCGATGCTTTTTTAACCCCGAACGACGCACGGCAGTGGTTTCGGTTAATTTCGTGGCACGTGGATAGTTTTATTAGAATTGTAAATGATTTTTTTGAATTCTTAATAATTAAATTTAACGCAGTTTGATTTCAAATTTCCCAAAATATTCTAATTATTAGAGATTAAAGCTTGGATTCTATTTCTGAGATACTCAAACATGATATAAATATGGAATATTAAATTTGATTATTAGCAACTCGTTCGTTACTGCCCCGTTTCTATATTTACTTTTCGTTGCCTATTAAAATTTACCGACGAATAAAATAATACAGTTGTTTGTAATATGAACATGTAATTCGTAATTCGCAAATGTAAATACCAACGTTTATAGCATGTCTGGTTTGTTGATTTTTTTCTCATCGTGTACTAAATTATATTATAGTTTTGTTAAATATTGTTAAAAATTAATTATCGGTGCTATCGAAAAATATCTCAAATAATAGTTGCTTAAAATTGGATTTCTAACAATTTTTCTTAATAACATTTTTTGATATTTCCACAAAATAAGATTCTACACTGATTCACTAATTTTAAAAGCCGGGTAATTATCGATGATATCAAAAAATGTTTCAAATAATAGTTGGTTAAAATTGGATTTCTAACAATTTCTATTAATAACATTTTTTGATATTTTCACAAAATAAGATTTTACACTGATTCACTAATTTTGAAAAAAAATAATATCGATGTATCAAAAAATTTTTCAAATAATAGTTGTTTGAAATTGGATTCTGAACAGTTTTTCTTAATAAAATTTTTTGATATCTTCATTAAATAACCCTGTACACTGATACACTAATTTTCAAAAAAGATTAATTATAGGTCCTATCGGAAAGTGTCTCTAATAATAGTTGCTTAAAATTGGATTTCTAACAGTTTTTCTTAATAACATTTTTTGATATTTTCACAAAATAAAATTTTACACTGATTCACTAATTTCGAATAAAAATAATAATCGATATCAAAAAAGGGTTTCAAATAATAGTTGGTTAAAATTGGATTTCTAACAATTTCTATTAATAACATTTTTTGATATTTTCACAAAATAAGATTTTACACTGATTCACTAATTTTGAAAAAAAAATAATATCGATGTATCAAAAAATGTTTCAAATAATAGTTGTTTGAAATTGGATTCTGAACAGTTTTTCTTAATAAAATTTTTTGATATCTTCATTAAATAACCCTGTACACTGATACACTAATTTTCAAAAAAGATTAATTATCGGTCCTATCGAAAAGTGTCTCTAATAATAGTTGCTTAAAATTGGATTTCTAACAGTTTTTCTTAATAACATTTTTTGATATTTTCATAAAATAAGATTTTACACTGATTCACTAATTTAGAAAAAAATTAATTATCGATGTATCAAAAAATGTTTCAAATAATAGTTGTTTGAAATTGGATTTTAAACAATTTTTCTTAATAACATTTTTTGATATTTCCACAAAATAAGATTCTACACTGATTCACTAATTTTCAAAAAAAGCTAATTATCGATGATATCGAAAAATGTTTCAAATAAGAATTGTTACAAATAAGATTTCTAACAATTTTTCTTAATAAATTTTTTTGATATTTCCACAAAATATAATTCTACACTGATTCACTAATTTTCAAAAAAGCCTAATTATCGATGATATCGAAAAAATGTTCAAATAAGAATTGTTTGAAATAAGATTTCTAACAAATTTTCTTAATACTATTTTTTGATATTTTCATAAAATAAGTCTCTACACTGATTCACTAATTATTACAAAATGGTTATCATCGATTTTATCGAAAAATGTTTCAAATAAAAGTTGTTTAAAATTAGATTCTTAACAAATTTTCTTAATAGATTTTTTGTATATTTTGATAAAATAAGTCTCTACACTGATTCACTAATTATTACAAAATGGTTATCATCGATTTTATCGAAAAATGTTTCAAATAAAAGTTGTTTAAAATTAGATTCTTAACAAATTTTCTTAATAGATTTTTTGTATATTTTGATAAAATAAGTCTCTACACTGATTCACTAATTATTACAAAATGGTTATCATCGATTTTATCGAAAAATGTTTCAAATAAAAATTGCTTGGAATTAGATTTATAACAACTTTTCTTAATAACATTTTTTGATATTTTCATAAAATAAGTCTCTACACTGATTCACTAATTTTCAAAAAATAGTAATTATCGATTTTATCGAAAAATGTTTCAAATAAAAGTTGTTTAAAATTAGATTCTTAACAAATTTTCTTAATAGTATTTTTTGATATTTTCATGAAATAAGGCTGTACAAATTAAATATTTTAATTAAGAATACGTAAATTATTTCGAAGAACTTAAAATTACAACGCAGATAGTCGTAGTAAAATGTAAATATTCGTTATTAATCGATATATAGACGTAAAGTGGAATTCTACCAAGCACAGTGGTCGTGCTTCAATATTTGATTGAATATGGCATATACTGTACAATATTTACACTGCCCATTGTTCACACACCATTCTCGAATCGACGGAAAGTTTTTTAGCATTGCGTCGCAACGTTTAATGCCATTCAGTTAGCATTCGAATTGATGGCGTGGTCGTTTTTGTAATTTTTCAACCGTACCTAGTTGTTGTAGTCCACGCATTCGGGTCGTTGTTTTCGGTTATTTACGCAATTAAAATTTCGGTTTTTCGACCGGTTTTGCACACAGCGCTCGTTTTTAACGGTGCTTTCAGTTCGGTTTTACCTCTAGTTTACAAAACCGCCCCCTCCCCACGTTCCTGTCTATCTAATCGAACAAATTGAATCGTTTTGATAACGTTAATGACGCTTTTTTTTCTGTTTTGTTTCAGGAAAAAGTTTTACATTAACGATAACGGTTTCGACGCAACCACCGCAAGTGGCTACTTATAATAAGGCGATAAAAGTTACCGTTGATGGTCCTAGAGAACCCAGATCTAAAACAAGTGAGTAAAATTTTATAAAATTGAGGGTTACTTTTTGTTTTCCCCCTTTGTTTTATTCTATCCGCAATAAAATTGCAATTATCCGGCTTCGTTGGAAAAGTCCGTACGTTCCTGGGGTTTCAGTTACTAAAAGCTCGACTCCGTGAGAGGACCGGACACTGCTCCAGAAGTTTCTCTAAAAAGCTCTCACCCTCTTTATGTCGCACCATTTAGGTTTCTAACTCAGGAGGGGATTGAAAAACATTTCGGATAATTCGATTAGGATAAAAACAAATTTGTTAGTTGGGAGTTGTGCTATTTTAGTGGATTTATTAATGATGTATTGTTTTTATTAATAAGATTTAGTGGGGTGAGTCGTAAAAATCTAAAATACGGCCCTGTATAGACGGAGCTATCCAGACGACTGCAAGTGTAAGAGCTCTCACCCTAATCTAATACATGTCAGCAGGAAAACGTCCAGCTGTCGCAGGCTCTAGTCCGGTTTTGTCACCTCCTGCTGCTAGACAGAGCCTGACGCCTGTTGGAGACGTTAATTAATATATACTACGAGGAAACGTAATTATTTCCCCGACACTCCAACGCTTCAACCTCGTTTCGATTCATCAGGAAGTAAAATCACTCAACCTTTATGCTCCTCTTAACACTTATCTACATACATTTTCATTAATTTGCTTCATAGTCTTTGCTAATTTAATTGATTGTGTTTATAACTTGAAAAAAAAAATTGTTTCGTTGGCTATATCATGCAACTCATGTTATATAGAAAATATGTTGACGCATCTTAGCTCAAAATGGCTCCCAATGGCTCTAAGTACAATATGATACCTTTCATTGGCTCCAAATGTTTACTACTTCTAATCATTAGCATGGTTTCAAATTGTTTCCAAGATTTTTTGTTTTTACTATTAAATCATTTCAAATCATCGAAATGGCTCCGAATGGCTCATTGAAGTTAAATACTTTCCAATTGCCGATCAAAATAATTAACGGTAATTGGGAAATGATTTATGTCTTAAATTAAAGCTCAAAGATTCTATTTTAACCCTTTGTGTCCCAAGAAGTCAAACATTTTGAATCTTTGTGACAGAATTAAAACGCTATCAAAATACTAATAATAATCAAGCATTAAAATATATTTGAGTGATGTTGCAGTATACAAAACCTTTTACTACTTGTACTTGAGGTACTTGAGTTGCTTTGGCAGAACAATTTTCGCAACTTCCTCTTTCTTTTGAATTTGGGTTACGACATTTTCGTGGACGCAGTAAATTTGAATGTTTATTTATCAAACCTGTAGCTATAGAACGACGAAAATCTGATAGAATATTGAGAAAACACATATTGAGCAAAAACTAACATTTTCGCATAATTTCAGTGTCAAAAGAGATGCTAATTCAAAAATTCCTGGAAGCCGTGTTTATTGAAATTAAGAAATGAAACTTATTTTAAATTGAAGCTTTAAGCTTTCTGTTTAAATCAATATATAATAATCGTTGGGTTGGATTGGAAAAATATTGAAAAAAAAAATGTTGAAACAAAACTTACATTTTCGTATAACCTAAAAGTGTCAAAAAAGATGCTAATTTAAAAATTCCTGGAAGCCGTATTTATTGAAATTAAGGAATGAGACTTATTCTAAATTAAAGCTCAAAGCTTTCTCTTTAAAATGATGTATAATAATTGTTGGGTTGGATTGGAAAAATATTGAGAAAAAAAATGTTGAAACAAAACTTACATTTTCGTATAACCTAAAAGTGTCAAAAAAGATGCTAATTTAAAAATTCCTGGAAGCCGTATTTATTTAAATTAAGGAATGAGACTTATTCTAAATTAAAGCTCACAGCTTTCTTTTTAAAATGATCTGTAATAATCGCACCTAATAACCATTTAAATATCAAAGAGATATCTTTTTTGAACAACAAAATTCAATAACACCACTTTTCACTAAACTTCTAACCTTACATCTGGACGAATAAGTCTAAATATACCTAAAAACCCTACAGTGCATATTGTGTCATTTTTTATACTGATTCTTTCTTGTATAGTAGAGAGTACCAACAGCTCTAAATGCGCTGAATAGATGATACAGTTCAAAATGAGTGTTTAAAATTACCGGTACAAAAGAACATACAAGAAAATTTATTAAATTGGGTTGTCTTAAAAAAAGTGAATGTTTTAAAAAATCGCCTTCACTTCATTTTGAGGAATTAGGAAATAACTAATATCTTAAGTTAAAGCTGAAAGACTCTATTTTAAGACATGATATAGAAATATTGTGGTTGTATAAAGAAAGTTTTTCAAAAAAGTTATTTGAGAATATATACTTTAAATTTTAATTTAATGCATAAATCATTTCTTAACTAAAATCATATCATCTCAAAATTTAATATTTTAATACTCATCTGCATAAATTTTCGTTAATTTTCTTAATTTAAGTGTTTGTATTTATAAGTTGAATCGAAAACTTGAGGAAGAAAGTTGACAAAGTCGTTGAAACGAATCCGCAAGGAATGAAACTCCTTGTAAGGGTAGCAACAGGTTTTTGGGGGGGAAATTAAGACGATTTATTATTTCGCAAAGTGGGCAAGGTTTCTAAAGAGGCCCTAATCTTTCGGAAAACTTTTGATTAACCGAGTCTAGACAAGTTAATTAAAACTCCCTTTTTTAAAATTTCCTTTTGACAATAAAATTCATTCCGTTCGATGCAAACTTTGTTCTGGTCGAATGGTCGAGGCATATCGAACCCTTTAGGAATTGAAGGGGTGAGTTTACATCAGTAATTTATTTCCGAATAAGAATCCTCCTCCGCCCGTCGTGTCGATACCGGTGGCGCGAGTGCAAACCCGTTCGGAGCACATTTAAGGGAACTTTATCAATTCTGTCAGTGGCACCACGTTGCCGCTCTCGGGCCACCCTAGCAAACTTTAATTTCCCCAGGTCCGAGAGAGGAGGACGTGTCCCAACCAGACCCGCCCCTATATTGGATTATGCGATCGATTAAAACCGAAATTACTTTATATTAATCAGACCCCTGTATCCGACCCCTCCGCGACTTTGTTCAATTAAACCTAAAGCGAAAAACAAATCGACTAAATCATTTATTTCATTTGCAATGATATAAGTATGCAACCAATATCGCATTATTTTTATTGCAATACGCGATTTGCGTATGATTCGTATTGCGGTGTGATATTGGTTGCATAATGTTAACTTTTTCAGTTATTCTAAACCCTCGTTTCTTGTAGGTATCTACTCCGACAGCTAAATTTCCCTAAATTTGCAAGTTCTCCAAAACTGAATTAATGAATTGAATTGGTTGATTAATTAATTAGAATTGGTCGACGTCGAGAGCGAGAAACGTTGGGGGGCTCGAACTTTGAAAAGAGACGACCGATTACGTTCGGAAACCCCCCTACAAAAGGGGGGATCTCTAACCCTTTTCATATAGCTCGGCCCGTGGGCCCAAGCCGGCCCTTCAATTTACATTCATTCGCGGCAAATCGCACAGATGCGCCTGTGTATTGCATTGTTTCCGGAGCTAAAGTACTATTATACTGAGTGTTCCACTCGACCCGTTCCGTCCGTTAATAGACCAACACGGTCCGGGCCTCTTCACGAAGAAGAGAATTAAATGAAAACCAGAGAAGAGGTTTTGAATTAACCTTTTTTAATTTTTTTCGTTTTGTATAAATGGTTAATTTTAATAAGTTAGAAACGTTCCCGGAGGCGTAACACTGCCGTATAAAGGGCTGGTGAACTAATATAGCTGGCAACTTGAAGCAATTTCGAAACAAACTGGCACAAACTTAGGAGTTACTACCATTTCGCCGGCTCGCAAACTACTTTTGCGGTTGCCTAATATGTTAGACGACGGCGTCTTGAAAGGGCACGATTTATTCCCCTACGTCCTTACTATCCCTCTCTCACTAGTTTACCCGATTACCAGTCATATCGAAATTTACAAGCCACTTTTAGAAATTGATAACATCAATAATAAACCGAAACGAATTTCGTGATCATTAAAAAGCTCTTTCAGTTACACTCATTCAACCGTATCGGTTACACGACTTTGCTATTTAAAACTTAATACCAAGTCGCGTGTTTACTCAAAATGAAAGCTTTTTTATTTCCTTCGACGTCTTTTCCTGTTTTGTGAAGCGGCTGCGTTTACATTTTTGTTTGGAAGTCTTCGTTTATATATTTCCTGTTTTTTTTTTTTTATTTTTTAGTTTCATTATTATTTAGATTATTATATTCGAAATTATATCTAATTGTATATAGTAGACGAAAAATTGTGTTCATAAAAACGAATGATTTATCATTAGAAAGCTAAGAAGTCGAGAGTTTTTGTACGATTATATGGACAATTTTAGTTTTAATTTAAGATATAAATAATATTGTAGCTCATCAAAATCAGATCCAAATGAGTATTTTATATTACATCTTTAATTACCAAATTTAACAGATTTTCTTGTATGTTCTTTTTTGAAAAATTTCCTTTATCGAACCCCATTATTTTTATATCACATCTAAAAATAGAATCTCTTAGCTTTAATTTAAGACATAAATCATTATTTAACTCCTCAAAACAAGGTTGAGGTGATTTTTTAAAATTTTCTCACTTTTGACATAACAGATTTTCTTGTATGATCTTTTTTTAAAAAATTTTCTTTATCAAACCCCATTATTTCTATACCACATCTAAAAGTAGAATCTCTTAGCTTTAATTTAAGATATAATTTATTTCTTAGCTCCCCAAAATAAAGTTGTGGTGATTTTTTAAAGTTTTCACTTTTTTGACATAACAGAACTTAAGAGATTATCTTATATGTTCTTTTTTGAAAAATTTTCTTTATACAACCTCATTGTTTCTATATCACATCTAAAAATAGAGTCTTTTAGCTTTAATTTAAGATATATATATCATTTCTTAACTTCAAAAAATACGGCTCAGGTGAATTTTATTAAATTTTCACTTCTTCATAACCCAACTTAAGCGATTTTTTTGTGTTTTTTTTTAAATTTTCATTTTCAAACCTTATTATTTTTATATCACATCTAAAGATAGACTCTTTTAGCTTTAATTTAAAACATAAATCATTAGTTAACTCCTCAAAACAAGGTTGAGGTGATTTTTAAAAAATTTCTCACTTTTGACATAACAGATTTTCTTGTATGATCTTTTTTTGAAAAAATTTTCTTTATCAAACCCCATTATTTCTATATCACATCCAAAAGTAGAATCTTTTAGCTTTAATTTAAGATATAATTTATTTCTTAACTCCCCAAAATAAAGTTAGGGTGATTTTTTAAAGTTTTCACTTTTTTGACATAACAGAACTTAAGAGATTATCTTATATGTTCTTTTTTGAAAAATTTTCTTTATACAACCTCATTGTTTCTATATCATATCTAAAAATAGAGTCTTTTAGCTTTAATTTAATATATATATCATTTCTTAACTTAAAAAAATACGGCTCAGGTGAATTTTATTAAATTTTCACTTCTTCATAACCCAACTTAAGCGATTTTCTTGTGTTTTTTATTAAATTTTCGTTATCAAACCTCATTATTTTTATATCACATCTAAAGATAGACTCTTTTTGCTTTAATTTAAGGCATAAATCATTTAATAATTCCTCAAAACAATGTTGAGGTTTTTTTTTTAATTTTCTCTCTTTTGACATAACTTTACCAATTTTCTTGTATATTCTTTTTTAAGAAAATTTTCTTTATCAAACCTCATTATTTCTATATCACAACTAAAAATAGAGTCTTTTAGCTTTAATTTAAAACATAAGTCATTAGTTAACTCCTCAAAACAAGGTTGAGGTGATTTTTTAAAATTTTCTCACTTTTGACATAACAGATTTTCTTGTATGATCTTTTTTTGAAAAATTTTCTTTATCAAACCCCATTATTTCTATATCACATCTAAAAGTAGAATCTTTTAGCTTTAATTTAAGATATAACTTATTTCTTAATTCCCCAAAATAAAGTTGTGGTGATCTTTTAAATTTTTCACTTTTTTGACACAACAGAACTTAAGAGATTATCTTATATATTCTTTTTTGAAAAATTTTCTTTATACAACCTCATTGTTTTTATATCACATCTAAAAATAGAGTCTTTTAGCTTTAATTTAAGATATATATCATTTCTGAATTTCAAAAATACGGCTCAGGTGAATTTTATTAAATTTTCACTTCTTCATAACCCACCTTAAGCGATTTTCTTGTGTTTTTTCTTTTAATTTTCGTTATCAAACCTCATTATTTCTATATCACATCTAAAGATAGACTCTTTTAGCTTTAATTTAAGACATAAATCATTTCCTAATTCCTCAAAACAAAGTTGAGGTGATTTTTTTTAATTTTCTATCTTTTGACATAACTTTACAAATTTTCTTGTATATGCTTTTTTGAAAAAATTTTCTTTATCAAACCTCATTATTTCTATATCACATCTAAAAATAGAGTCTTTTAGCTTTAATTTAAAACATAAGTCATTATTTAACTCCTCAAAACAAGGTTGAGGTGATTTTTTAAAATTTTCTCACTTTTGACATAACAGATTTTCTTGTATGATCTTTTTTTGAAAAATTTTCTTTATCAAACCCCATTATTTCTATATCACATCTAAAAGTAGAATCTTTTAGCTTTAATTTAAGATATAACTTATTTCTTAATTCCCCAAAATAAAGTAGGGGTAATTTTTTTAAATTTTCACTTTTTTAACATAACAGAATTGAAGAGATTTTCTTGTATGTTCTTTTTTGAAAAATTTTCGTTATACAACCTCATTGTTTCTATATCATATCTAAAAATAGAGTCTTTTAGCTTTAATTTAATATATATATCATTTCTTAACTTAAAAAAATACGGCTCAGGTGAATTTTATTAAATTTTCACTTCTTCATAACCCAACTTAAGCGATTTTCTTGTGTTTTTTATTAAATTTTCGTTATCAAACCTCATTATTTTTATATCACATCTAAAGATAGACTCTTTTTGCTTTAATTTAAGGCATAAATCATTTAATAATTCCTCAAAACAATGTTGAGGTTTTTTTTTTAATTTTCTCTCTTTTGACATAACTTTACCAATTTTCTTGTATATTCTTTTTTAAGAAAATTTTCTTTATCAAACCTCATTATTTCTATATCACAACTAAAAATAGAGTCTTTTAGCTTTAATTTAAAACATAAGTCATTAGTTAACTCCTCAAAACAAGGTTGAGGTGATTTTTTAAAATTTTCTCACTTTTGACATAACAGATTTTATTTTATGATCTTTTTTTGAAAAATTTTCTTTATCAAACCCCATTATTTCTATATCACATCTAAAAGTAGAATCTTTTAGCTTTAATTTAAGATATAACTTATTTCTTANTCACATCTTACAACACAATCTTTTAGCTTTAATTTAAGACATAAATCATTTCCCAACTCCTCAAATCAAGGTTAAGGTGATTGCTTAAAATTTTCACTCTTTTGACATAACTTAACAAATTTTTTTGCATGTACTTTCTTGAAAAATTTTCTTCATCAAACCCCATTGTTTCTATGTCACAACTTAAAACACAATCTTTTAGCTTTAATTTGAGACATAAATCATGTCCCAACTCATCAAATCAAGGTTAAGGTGATTGCTTAAAATTTTCACTCTTTTGACATAACTTAACAAATTTTTTTGCAAGTACTTTTTTGAAAAATTTTCTTCTTCAAACCCCATTGTTTCTATGTCACATCTTAAAACACAATCTTTTAGCTTTAATTTGAGACATAAATCATTTCCTAAATCCTCAAATCAAGGTTGAGGTGATTCTTTTATGATTTTTTTAAATTTATTATTTTTAAGTTGAGTGCAATTTAATTCCTTATCTAAACAGAGTGGGACAGTATTACAATCTAATGTAGTGTTTTCTCTTTTAGGACAGCAGCAACAGTTTCATTTCGCCTTTGGTCAGCGACCATTTCCATTTGCCGCTTCTGATCCATTAACAGGATTTAGAATGCCACCCATAGGAAATTGTAACAGTGAGTAACTACCGTTTCATTTAAATTATTTCTAATTAAAAACATTCAACAATTTTCTGTTTAGAATACAAAACAAACATGTTAAAAATTAAAGATTGGACTTGACTCCTTCCATCTCCCAAAGGAGCCATAAGTAATTTTAGGATAGCTCGGTTTTAGCTCTCGTTTTCGGCCAAGGGGTAATGAATTAGATTCCGTTGAATTTTAAGCGCTCTAACTCCCAAAGGGGTAATAACCTTAATGGATTTATGGCCAGATTTACAAGATGTTTCGTTATGTTTCAACATCCCGTTATGTTTCCCACTTCGGATTACAATTTATTTATTTAATTTTTATTTCTATGACTAATTCTAATTATACAGGTTGGTTAATATATCTGAGTCGTTTTGTATGTTTCGTAATTTAGTTGATGAGTATCGATCCGATTCATCCCGTTGTTGCAACTAGTTTTCAGGGCCGCTTTTAGAGGATTTTAAAATATTTCAAGATTAATTAGTGGTGAGTTTTATAGAGTTTGGGTGGTTTTAATTTTTTTTTTATTTTATTTGTTTAGGTAAACACGAAATGAATGTTGGGTTTGTTGATGGAAAAGATATTTTTTTTTGTAAAATCATTGAATCCGGTTCTGGTGTGTATACAGGCAGATTTTTAGGGAAAAGCTATCACCGAGCGGGTCGCGCTCGGCTCACATGTTATTGAATACATTGTCCGGCCGCAAAACAGATTAATTGCTTTTTACTTTGAGCCGCTGTGTTGTTTGCGCCGGCAATCTGCTCTTTTTCCATGGAGTGGGTCGTTTGCGCCAATGCGAGAGAGAGATGCAAACCATTTTTCCCCAGTACTATTTATATTTGTTGTTGATTGTGTTCGGGATATTTGTTTGTTACAAAGTTGGACGTGTGTGGGTGTGTCGCGTCGACCGACACCGCCGGGAAATTATATCGCCGATTGGCATTCGATGGCCCGTATGACAACTTTATGCGGACTTCAATAATCGGATATTTTTCAATTCCAAATAGAGTAAAACCTCGATCTGTTACTTATACATAGAATCCAACTCGAAACTTTGAAGAAGACGCATGTCTAAACCCGAAACTTTCTAGTTCTAGTGTTAGTTCCAGTGTTAATTATAATTCAGTGCAATTTTTTTAATGTTTTTTTGTTCCTAAGTTGTTCAAAATAAGCTAAGGAACACGATGAGTGCACATAACTCAAATTTGGCAGTAGCAAAAAAAAATACGCAACTGCAAGGAGTAACCATAAATTTGCAATTTTGATTTTTGAAAATTTTTTGCTTTTAGAATCTTTAAAATATCCTTTGTAACACGACTAATATACACATTTGAATATGTTCTAAACGTTTTATTGTAACGCTAAAATTTTCATATTTTTCTCGATACCTATGCATCTGAAAGCAAAAGAGCAAGAGAACTATATTGTTAAGAATAAAATTTGCTACAAATAATCTTGCAAAAGTTTTTTTATAACTTGCTCCGATTCCCGAGTGCTACCATTGATAACTAATAAAACAACGAAATTTATCAAATTTTCATATTTTTGCATTTTTCTCAATATTTATACATCTGAGAGCAAAAGTGCCAGAGAGCAATATTGTTTAGAATAAAATTTGCAACAACTTTAGTTCTAAAACTTTTTTTATATTATTCTCCGATTCCCGACTGTTGCCATTGGCACATAGTAAAACAACGAAATTCTTTAAATTTTCATATTTTTGCATTTTTCTCAATATTTATGCATCTGAGAGCAAAAGCGCAAGAGAGGAATATTGTTTAGAACAAAATTTGCTACAACTTTAGTTCTAAAAGTTTTTTTATGTCATTCTCCGATTCCAGAATGTTACCACTAATAACTAGTAAAACAACGAAATTTATCAAATTTTCATATTTTTGCATTTTTCTCAATATTTATACATCTGAGAGCAAAAGCGCAAGAGAGCAATATTGTTTAGAATAAAATTTGCTACAACTTATGTTGTAAAAGTTTTTTTATATCATTCTCCGACTCCCGAATGTTACCATTGATAAGTAGTAAAATAACGAAATGTATCAAATTTTCATATTTTTGCATTTTTCTCAATATCTATACATCTGGGAGCAAAAGTGCCAGAGAGCAATATTGATAAGAATAAAATTTGCTACAACTTTAGTTCTAAAACTTTTTTTATATCATTCTCTTATTTCCGAATGTTACCATTGGCACATAGTAAAACAACGAAAATCTTCAAATTTCATATTTTTACATTTTTCTCAATATTTATGCATCTGAGAGCAAAAGTGCAAGAGAGGAATATTGTTTAGAACAAAATTTGCTACAACTTTAGTTCTAAAAGTTTTTTTATATCATTCTCCGATTCCCGACTNGAGAACTAATAAAACAACGAAATTTATCAAATTTTCATATTGTTACATTTTTCTCAATATTTATGCATCTGAGAGCAAAAGCGCAAGAGAGGAATACTGTTTAGAACAAAATTTGCTACAACTTTAGTTCTAAAAGTTTTTTTATATCATTCTCCGCTTCCCGAATGTTACCATTGCTAAGTAGTAAAATAACGAAATTTATTAAATTTTTGCATTTTTCTCAATATCTATACATCTGAGAACAAAAGTGCCAGAGAGCAATATTGATAAGAGTAAAATTTGCTACAACTTATGTTGTAAAAGTTTTTTTATATCATTCTCCGATTCCCGAATGTTACCATTGATAAGTAGTAAAATAACGAAATTTATCAAGTTGTCATATTTTGCATTTTTCTCAATATCTATACATCTGGGAGCAAAAGTGCCAAAGAGCAATATTGATAGGAACAAAATTTGCTACAACTTTAGTTCTAAAACTTTTTATATATCATTCTCCGGTTCCCGACTGTTACCATTGGCACATAGTAAAACAACGAAATTCTTCAAATTGTCATATTGTTACATTTTTCTCAATATTTATGCATCTGAGAGCAAAAGCGCAAGAGAGGAATACTGTTTAGAACAAAATTTGCTACAACTTTAGTTCTAAAAGTTTTTTTATATCATTCTCCGATTCCCGAATGTTACCACTGATAACTAGTAAAACAACGAAATTTATCAAATTTTCATATTTTTGCATTTTTCTCAATATCTATACATCTGAGAGCAAAAGCGCAAGAGAGCAATATTGTTTAGAATAAAATTTGCTACAACTTACGTTGTAAAAGTTTTTTTATATCATTCTCCGATTCCCGAATGTTACCATTGCTAAGTAGTAAAATAACGAAATTTATCAAATTTTTGCATTTTTCTCAATATCTATACATCTGGGAGCAAAAGTGCCAGAGAGCAATATTGATAAGAATAAAATTTGCTACAACTTATGTTGTAAAAGTTTTTTTATATCATCCTCCGATTCCCGAATGTTACCATTGATAAGTAGTAAAATAACGAAATTTATCAAATTTTCATATTTTTGCATTTTTCTCAATATCTATACATCTGGGAGCAAAAGCGCAAGAGGGCAATATTGTTTAAAATTAAATTTGCTACAACTTTAGTTCTAAATTTTTTTTTATATCACTCTCCGATTCCCGACTGTTACCATTGGCACATAGTAAAACAACGAAATTCTTCAAATTTTCATATTTTTACATTTTTCTCAATATTTATACATCTGAGAGCAAAAGCGCAAGAGAGGAATATTGTTTAGAACAAAATTTGCTACAACTTTAGATCTAAAAGTTTTTTTATATCATTCTCCGATTTCCGAATGTTACCATTAACACAGTAAAATAACGAAATTTATCAAATTTTCATATTTTTGCATTTTTCTCAATATCTATACATCTGAGAGCAAAAGCGCAAGAGAGCAATATTGTTTAGAATAAAATTTNTATTTTTCTCAATATCTGTACATCTGGGAGCAAAAGTACCAGAGAGCAATATTGATAAGAATAAAATTTGCTACAACTTTAGTTCTAAAAGTTTTTTTATATCATTCTCCGATTCCAGAATGTTACCATTGATAACTAGTAAAACAACGAAATTTATCAAATTTTTGCAATTTTTTCAATATCTATACATCTAGGAGCAAAAGTGCCAGAGAGCAATATTGATAAGAATAAAATTTGCTACAACTTTAGTTCTAAAAGTTTTTTTATATTATTCTCCGATTCCCGATTGTTACCATTGATAACTCGTAAAACAACGAAATTAATCAAATTTTCATATTTTTGCATTTTTCTCAATATCTATACATCTGGGAGTAAAAGTGCTACAGAGCAATATTGTTTAGAATAAAATTTGCTACAACTTTAGTTTTAGAACTTTTTTTATATCACTCTCCGATTCCCGACTGTTACCATTGGCACATAGTAACATAACGAAATTCATCAAATTTTCATATTTTTCTCAATATCTGTACATCTGAGAGCAAAAGCGCAAAAGAGCAATATTGTTTCGAATAAAATTTAACTAATCCATTAATCTTCTAAATGTTAAATTCCAGCACTTATGTTCATAAATCTGCCATAAGTCAGAAGCTATAATCGATAGAGAAAAATATTGTGCAACAAAATGGTTCATTTTGAATCGAAAAAGTATAATTCATAACAAAGATCTCTTCTAAATGTCTGCATTTTCTGCAAACCAACCTATGATCTTCTAAATCTCAAAATCGGCCACACATTAATAAATCTAGCATAAGTCAGAAACTATAAGCGATAGAGAAAAATGTTTTGCACCCAAATTGTTCATTTTGAACCAAAAAGGCATAATCCATAACAAAGATTTGTTTTGGACTTCTGCAAACTAACTAATCTTCTAAATGTCAAATAATAACCAAATAATTGTCTTTTTTCTCAATATCTGTACATCTGAGAGCAAAAGCGCAAGAGAGCAATATTGTTTAGAATAAAATTTGCTACAACTTTTGTTGTAAAAGTTTTTTTATATCATNTAACTAATCTTCTAAATGTCAAATAATAACCAAATAATTGTCTTTTTTCTCAATATCTGTACATCTGAGAGCAAAAGCGCAAGAGAGCAATATTGTTTAGAATAAAATTTGCTACAACTTTTGTTGTAAAAGTTTTTTTATATCGTTCTCCGATTCCCCAATGTTACCATTGATAAGTAGTAAAATAACGAAATTTATCAAATTTTCATATTTTTGCATTTTTCTCAATATCTATACATCTAGGAGCAAAAGTACCACAGAGCAATATTGATAAGAATAAAATATGCTACAACTTTAATTCTAAAACTTTTTTTATATCATTCTCCGATTCCCGACTGTCACCATTGGCACATAGTTAAATAACGAAATTCTTCAAATTTTCATATTTTTACATTTTTCTCAATATCTATGCATCTGAGAGCAAAAGCGCAAGAGAGGAATATTGTTTAGAACAAAGTTTGCTACAACTTTAGTTCTAAAAGGTTTTTTATATCATTCTCCGATTCCTGAATGTTACCATTGATAAGTAGTAAAATAACGAAATTTATCAAATTTTCATATTTTTGCATTTTTCTCAATACCTATACATCTAGGAGCAAAAGTACCAGAGAGCAATATTGATAAGAATAAAATATGCTACAACTTTAATTCTAAAACTTTTTTTATATCATTCTCCGATTCCCGACTGTCACCATTGGCACATAGTTAAATAACGAAATTCTTCAAATTTTCATATTTTTACATTTTTCTCAATATCTATGCATCTGAGAGCAAAAGCGCAAGAGAGGAATATTGTTTAGAACAAAGTTTGCTACAACTTTAGTTCTAAAAGGTTTTTTATATCATTCTCCGATTCCTGAATGTTACCATTGATAAGTAGTAAAATAACGAAATTTATCAAATTTTCATATTTTTGCATTTTTCTCAATACCTATACATCTAGGAGCAAAAGTACCAGAGAGCAATATTGATAAGAATAAAATATGCTACAACTTTAATTCTAAAACTTTTTTTATATCATTCTCCGATTCCCAACTGTCACCATTGGCACATAGTTAAATAACAAAATTCTTCAAATTTTCATATTTTTACATTTTTCTCAATATTTATGCATCTGAGAGCAAAAGTGCAAGAGAGCAATATTGTTTAGAATAAAATTTGCTACAACTTTAGTTCTAAAAGTTTTTTTATATCATTCTCCGATTCCCGAATGTTACCATTGATAAGTAGTAAAACAACGAAATTCATCAAATTTTCATATTTTTCTCAATATCTATACATCTGGGAGCAAAAGTACCACAGAGCAATATTGATAAGAATAAAATATGCTACAACTTTCATTCTAAAACTTTTTTTATATCATTCTCCGATTCCCGACTGTCACCATTGGCACATAGTAAAATAACGAAATTCATCAAATTTTCATATTTTCGTATTTTTCTCAATATCTGTACATCTGAGAGCAAAAGCGCAAGAGAGGAATATTGTTTAGAACAAAATTTGCTACAATTTTAGATCTAGAAGTTTTTTTATATCATTCTCCGATTTCGGAATGTTACCATTAACACAGTAAAATAACGAAATTTATCAAATTTTCATATTTTTGCATTTTTCTCAATATCTATACATCTGAGAGCAAAAGCGCAAGAGAGCAATATTGTTTCGAATAAAATTTGCTACAACTTATATTGTAAAAGTTTTTTTATATCATTCTCAGATTCCCGAATGTTACCATTGGCACATACTAAAATACTGAAATTCATCAAATTTTCATATTTTCGTATTTTTCTCAATAACTGTACATCTGGGAGCAAAAGTGCTAGAGAGGAATATTGATAAGAATAAAATTTGCTACAACCTTAGTTATAAAACTTTTTTTATATCATTCTCCGATTCCCGATTGTTAGCATTGCCACATAGTAAAATAACGAAATTCTTCAAATTATCATATTTTCGTATTTTTCTCGATATTGACGCATCTGAGAGCAAAAGCGCAAGAGAGCAATATTGTTTAGAATGAAATTTGCTACAACTTTAGTTCTAAAAGTTTTTTTATATCATTCTCCGATTCCCGAATGTTACCATTGATAACTAGTACAACAACGAAATTTATCAAATTTTCATATTTTTACATTTTTCTCATTACCTACACATCTGAGAGCAAAAACGCAAGAGAGCAACATTGTTTAGAATAAAATTTGCTACAACTTTTGTTCTAAAAGTTTTTTTATATCATTCTCGGATTTCCGAATGTTACCATTGGCACATAATAAAATAACGAAATTCATCAAATTTTCATATTTTTGCATTTTTCTCAATATTTATGCATCTGAGAGCAAAAACGCAAGAGAGCAATATTGTTTACAATAAAATTTGCTACAACTTTCGTTCTAAAAGTTTTCTTATAACATGCTCTACTTCTTAGTTCTTAGTATAAATATAAAGCTAGTTAGTGCGTGAATTCAGACAGCAATTAAAAAATTTTCTTATCTAGGATTTACTGTAATAACAAAAATCTTTTTATTTTCTAGATATGCCCCAATTTGGTTTGACAACGACCAATTCTCATTGGGGTTATGGAGCGGCCGGGGCTTATTCGCCTTATTTCACTCCGAGTTCGTTGAGTTCCTGCGCGGCACCTTCAGCCTCGCAATTCAACACCCCAGCTTTAGGATTCAGCGGAACAACCCCCGATCAAACCAATAATCAAGAAACGACGTTTGGATCCAGCTCGGTGACTTCTCGTAAGATTTTTTTTTAATTGAATTAATAAATAAGTTAAAAAAAAAAATATTTTTAGTTCTCCCAGATACCACATCAACAGATTTAGATCAATTAGGTTTAGTTTCGTCCCAAAATCACAACACCTCTCATTCGCAAGCAACACCACACTCAACTTCTTTGCTTGTGCCAAGATACACTTCGTCGAATCACGATTTTCAAGTTTCCGGGCCTAGGAGTTTATCGGATAATTCTAGTGCAGCTGAAAGTCCGGTGCAGGAAGATTTACTTAGTCAAAGTAGTGTTGGGGTGAATCATAGTAATAATACAAATTTTGGACTCCATCAAAATATGACCCCCACCACTTATTCATCAACGAATTGTAATAATTCTTTGTATCCGGTTTTGCCGGCGAGTCTTCTTTACTCCCAATTATATTCGGCGGCTAATCAAACCCATAATTTTCATTCTTTGCATTCTCATTCATCGCAAGGTCACCATAACGATCTTCAAACGGTTATGGATCAATTATCAACCACGAATCAACGGAGTCAAATGCAAGGTAGCACGGAAATTTTACTCACAAATAATGGAACTTGCGCAGCGGCCGCTCAAAGACAAGATGATCACACTAGACTTGCCACAAATGCGAGTCAAAGGGGTCCCCAACAAAACACAGATGCTGTTTGGAGGCCGTATTAAAAAAATCTTTTTTAATTTTAGATTATTAATGAATTTCGTGCAATATTACTTGGGCATATTGTTAAATTGTTATTGGAGTTTGTATATATAGATAAATGTTGCTACCTCCGGTGTACATTCAGCAAAATGATTAGAATAAGATTTTATTGTGTATATAATATTGTATATATTTAAGTAACTTTAGAATTAAAATGTAGTAACCCGAAATTTCTTTTTATTACTTACTAACTATTAAAGGTTTATAATAATGTTTTGTCTTACTAAATTAATTTTTTTTTGTTACACCAAATTGGGTTGTTAACAAATTTAACGTATACGTATGAGGTATTTGTAAATTAACACACAATGTAATATAACAACGATTATAAATAAATAATAAATGTTTATAAAGATTTTTTTTTCTTTGTATCTTAAAAACGTCCTTATATCCTATTAAGAAAATTAAATTTCACCTGATTAAAGTCGATTATGGTCTTATATATGAAGGTCAAGGTGATTTTTTTAACCCAATTTAAGATATTTTTTTGCATGCTCTTTTTTGAAAAATAAAGTTGGTATAAATAAATATTGGAAAAAAGAATGAAATGTTAAAGGATATAAAATTAATTTCAAATTAGATTCGGGAAAAGAAATAATATTTGAGAAAATTAAGCAAATTAATAATAAAAATTATAACATAAGTATAAAAGGAATAAAATTAATAGCTTATGGAGAATTTTGTTATTTCTAATAGTGATAGAATGCCAATACTAGGGTTAAAAAGTTGTGAAAAGTTAAATTTAATACAAAAAATAGATTCAGTAGATAAAATTAAAGATAAACAAACTATTTGTAATCAATTTTCAAATGTTTTTCAAGGAATAGGGAAATTTTCAAAGTTATATAAAATAAAAAATGATGTAAAACTTGAAAAAAGATTAAAAATTGAATTAAATGATTTAAATAAAAGAGGTATTATAGAAAAAGCTAACAATTCATCTGAATGGATAAATAAATTAATAAGAATAAAATTTGCTACAACTTTTGTTGTAAAAGTTTTTTTATATCATTCTCCGATTCCCGAATGCTACCATTGGCACAGTAAAATAACGAAATTTATCAAATTTTCATATTTTTGCTTTTTTTTCAATATCTATACATCTGGGAGCAAAAGTGCTAGAGAGCAATATTGATAAGAATAAAATTTGCTACAACTTTTGTTGTAAAAGTTTTTTTATATCAATCTCGGATTCCAGAATGTTACCATTGGCACATAGTAAAATAACGAAATTCATCAAATTTTCATATTTTTGCATTTTTCTCAATATCTATACATCTGAGAGCAAATGTGCAAGAGAGCAATATTGTTTAGAATAAAATTTGCTACAACTTTAGTTCTAAAATTTTTTTTATATCATTCTCCGATTTCGGAATGTTACCATTGGCACATAGTAAAATACGAAATTCATCAAATTTTCATATTTTCGTATTTTTCTCAATATCTATACATTTGAGAGCAAATGTGCAAGAGAGCAATATTGTTTAGAATAAAATTTGCTAAAACTTTAGTTCTAAAAGTTTTTTTATATCATTCTCCGATTCCTGAATGTTACCATTGGCACAAAGTAAAATAACGAAATTCATCAAATTTTCATATTTTCGCATTTTTCTCAATATCTGTACATCTGAGAGCAAAAGCGCAAGAGAGCAATATTGTTTAGAATAAAATTTGCTACAACTTTTGTTGTAAAAGTTTTTTTATATCATTCTCGGATTCCAGAATGTTACCATTGGCACATAGTAAAATAACGAAATTCATCAAATTTTCATATTTTCGCATTTTTCTGAATATATATACATCTGAGAGCAAAAGTGCAAGAGAGCAATATTGTTTAGAATAAAATTAGCTAAAACTTTAGTTCTAAAAGTTTTTTTATATCATTTTCCAATTTTGAATGTTACCATTGGCACATAGTAAAATAACGAAATTCATCAAATTTTCATATCTTTGCATTTTTCTCAATATCTGTACATCTGAGAGCAAAAGTGCAAGAGAGCAATATTGTTTAGAATAAAATTTGCTAAAACTTTAGTTCTAAAAGTTTTTTTATATCATTTTCCAATTTTGAATGTTACCATTGGCACATAGTAAAATAACGAAATTCATCAAATTTTCATATCTTTGCATTTTTCTCAATATCTGTACATCTGAGAGCAAAAGTGCAAGAGAGCAATATTGTTTAGAATAAAATTTGCTAAAACTTTAGTTCTAAAAGTTTTTTTATATCATTGTCCGATTCCCGAATGCTACCATTGGCACATAGTAAAATAACGAATTTCATCAAATTTTCATATTTTCGTATTTTTCTCAATATCTATACATCTGAGAGCAAAAGTGCAAGAGAGCAATATTGTTTAGAATAAAATTTGCTAAAACTTTAGTTCTAAAAGTTTTTTTATATCATTTTCCAATTCCCGAATGTTACCATTGGCACATAGTAAAATAACAAAATTCATCAAATTTTCATATCTTTGCTTTTTTCTCAATATCTGTACATCTGAGAGCAAAAGCGCAAGAGAGCAATATTGTTTAGAATAAAATTTGCTACACCTTTTGTTGTAAAAGTTTTTTTATATCATTCTCCGATTTGCGAATGTTACCATTGACACATAGTAAAATAACGAAATTCATCAAATTTTCATATTTTCGCATTTTTCTCAATATCTATACATCTGGGAGCAAAAGTGCAAGAGAGCAATATTGTTTAGAATAAAATTTGCTAAAACTTTAGTTCTAAAAGTTTTTTTATATCATTCTCCGATTTTCGCATGTTACCATTGATAACTAGTAAAACAACGAAATTCATCAAATTTTCATATTTTAGCATTTTTCTCAATATCTGTACATCTGAGAGCAAAAGCGCAAGAGAGCAATATTAATAAGAATAAAATTTGTTACAACTTTAGTTCTAAAACTTTTTTTATATCATTTTCCGATTCCCGACTGTTATTACCATTGGCACATAGTAAGATAACGAAATTCTTCAAATTATCATACTTTCGTATTTTTCTCGATATTGACGTATCTGAGCGCAAAAGTTCAAGAGAGCAATACTATCAAGAATAAAATGTACTACAACTTTTATTCTAAAAGTTTTTTTATATCATTCTTCAATTCCCGCATGCTACCATTGGCACATAGTAAAATACGAAATTCATCAAATTTTCATATTTTTGCATTTTTCTCAATATCTATACATCTGAGAGCAAAAGCGCAAGAGAGCAATATTGTTTAGAATAAAATTTGCTACAACTTTTATTCTAAAAGTTTTTTTATATCATTCTCCAATTCCCGCATGCTACCATTGGCACATAGTAAAATACGAAATTCATCAAATTTTCATATTTTTGCATTTTTCTCAATATCTATACATCTGAGAGCAAAAGCGCAAGAGAGCAATATTGTTTAGAATAAAATTTGCTACAACTTATGTTGTAAAAGTTTTTTTATATCATTCTCCGATTCCCGAATGTTACCATTGGCACATAGTAAGATAACGAAATTCTTCAAATTATCATATTTTCGCATTTTTCTCAATATCTGTACATCTGAGAGCAAAAGCGCAAGAGAGCAATATTGTTTAGAATAAAATTTGCTACAACTTTTATTCTAAAAGTTTTTTTATATCATTCTCCAATTCCCGCATGCTACCATTGGCACATAGTAAAATACGAAATTCATCAAATTTTCATATTTTTGCATTTTTCTCAATATCTATACATCTGAGAGCAAAAGCACAAGAGAGCAATATTGTTTAGAATAAAATTTGCTACAACTTTAGTTTTAAAACTTTTTTTATATCATTCTCCGATTCCCGAATGTTACCATTGGTACATAGTAAAATACGAAATTCATCAAATTTTCATATTTTCGCATTTTTCTCAATATCTGTACATCTGAGAGCAAAAGCGCAAGAGAGCAATATTGTTTAGAATAAAATTTGCTACAACTTTAATACTAAAAGTTTTTTTATACCATTCTCCGATTCCCGAATGTTACCATTGGTACATAGTAAAATAACGAAATTCATCAAATTTTCATATTTTTAAGACATAAATCATTTATTAACTCCTCAAAGTAAGGTCAAGGCGATTTTTTTTTAATTTTCACATTTTTGGCATAACCCAACTTAAGAGATTTCTTTAGATCTATATCAAACCCCATTATTTAGATACAAATTCATACAATAGAATCTTTTAGCTTTAATTTGAGATATGAATCATTTCCCAATTCCTCAAAAAATAATAAACATCTATGAAGCAAACTAAATTCGTCCTGTTTAGACTCAATTGTGGTCGTTTCTATTACAGATTAATTTCGTTCGTAACTTACTCCGGGCAGAGTGCGGCAGTCACGAAAGGGCAGGATATTTGCGATACTGCGCCGCGTACAGCCACATGGGGCATTGTTTGGCCGCTTAATGCAATTGCCGAACCAGATTTGGAGTGGTTGTAGCCGTGGCACGTACTGTGCACCTGTCACCACTAATTAGTAGCCTATAACGACCGGACCCGTTGTCAATTAACCCTAATAAACAGACGAGAGAACGGTGAACCAGTGAAACATCACCGGACTAGAGCTGTTGTCCCTCTTGATACTTATTAATTAGAAATTTTCGCATTGTTTCGAACATACTTTCGTTGTACCCCAAATTTCTAAAAGTCACATTCTTCCATCCCTTTTATACTTTCAGCAACTTGAAACTGACCGCCAGAGAGAAATTGTAGGTCCAGAACAAAGCGAGCTCAAAAAAAAAGTCTACACAGGAACGCAAGCGTTTCAGGAATTCCACAAATATTTTAGGTCTTGAACGAAAATGATTTAATACGTTCTGCCGGCGAGCCGTGGAGGGTTGATTCTTCGCGGGGGTTGTTTACAATAACTCGACCCCACTTGGAATAATAATCAAGTGCTCCCAGTTTACGTGAGGACGCCGTTAGAGGTCGTTTCATTTACTAAGACGCATTCCCCAAGGTGTAATAAGAACACAATCTTGATTAACACGTAGTACATCCTCTATTTAACCCTTTCCGTCTTTCTCATCGGCTTTAGCATCGCCTCAGGGGGTTGTAGCTCAACGTACAAAAGCTACATTGCAGATTTGAACCCCTGATAAGGTAAGGAGTTAAAAGATAAGATAAGGGGTGTGTGTGCTCTTCACGATTTATAGTTTGGATTTTGATTATATATCTTTATAATTTTATTAAAGTCTCCCCCTTTTAATCTCTATTCAATGAAAAAAAACGATTTGTAAAATTGCTTTTTGTTCTCGAGATATGAATTTTTTAAATTACTAGAAACGATATTTCTAGGGTTTGTTTCAAAAATTTGTTAAAATTTGATTTTTTGGAAAATTGATTTGAAATTATTATCACTTATCAATGAAAGTGTGAGCTTTTCAACGAAAAAAGCCGCTTTCGAAAATAATTTTTAGTTTCGGAGATATGCATGTTTAAAGTTGGTCAAAAATTTTTGGTTTTTTCCATATTTAAGATTGATTTTAAAAATTTATTAAAAATCGATTTTTTTGAAAAATCATTACGCAATTCTGAAAAATTATCAATAAATTTATTCTCTATTCAATGAAAAAAACCGATTTGTAAAACAACCTTTAGTTCTCGAGATATGAATTTTTTAAATTAATAGAAACGCTTTTTTTTTATTTTTAAAAATTTTCGTATAACCTAAGTGTCAAAAAAAAGATGCTAATTTAAAAATTCTTGGAAGCCGTATTTATTGAAATTAATGAATAAAAGTTGAAAGCTCAAAGCTTTCTCTTTAAAATGATGTATAATAATTGTTGGGTTGGATTGGAAAAATATTGAGAAAAAAAATGTTGAAACAAAACTTACATTTTCGTATAACCTAAAAGTGTCAAAAAAGATGCTAATTTAAAAATTCCTGGAAGCCGTATTTATTGAAATTAAGGAATGAAACTTATTTTAAATTAAAGCTCAAAGCTTTCTCTTTAAAATGATGTATAATAATTGTTGGGTTGGATTGGAAAAATATTGAGAAAAAAAATGTTGAAACAAAACTTACATTTTCGTATAACCTAAAAGTGTCAAAAAAGATGCTAATTTAAAAATTCCTGGAAGCCGTATTTATTGAAATTAAGGAATGAAACTTATTTTAAATTAAAGCTCAAAGCTTTCTCTTTAAAATGATGTATAATAATTGTTGGGTTGGATTGGAAAAATATTGAGAAAAAAAATGTTGAAACAAAACTTACATTTTCGTATAACCTAAAAGTGTCAAAAAAGATGCTAATTTAAAAATTCCTGGAAGCCGTATTTATTGAAATTAAGGAATGAAACTTATTTTAAATTAAAGCTCAAAGCTTTCTCTTTAAAATGATGTATAATAATTGTTGGGTTGGATTGGAAAAATATTGAGAAAAAAAATGTTGAAACAAAACTTACATTTTCGTATAACCTAAAAGTGTCAAAAAAGATGCTAATTTAAAAATTCCTGGAAGCCGTATTTATTGAAATTAAGGAATGAAACTTATTTTAAATTAAAGCTCAAAGCTTTCTCTTTAAAATGATGTATAATAATTGTTGGGTTGGATTGGAAAAATATTGAGAAAAAAAATGTTGAAACAAAACTTACATTTTCGTATAACCTAAAAGTGTCAAAAAAGATGCTAATTTAAAAATTCCTGGAAGCCGTATTTATTGAAATTAAGGAATGAAACTTATTTTAAATTAAAGCTCAAAGCTTTCTCTTTAAAATGATGTATAATAATTGTTGGGTTGGATTGGAAAAATATTGAGAAAAAAAATGTTGAAACAAAACTTACATTTTCGTATAACCTAAAAGTGTCAAAAAAGATGCTAATTTAAAAATTCCTGGAAGCCGTATTTATTGAAATTAAGGAATGAAACTTGTTCTAAATTAAAGCTCAAAGCTTTCTCTTTAAAATGATGTATAATAATTGTAGGGTTGGATTGGAAAAATATTGAGAAAAAAAATGTTGAAGCAAAACTTACATCTTCGTATAACCTAAAAGTGTCAAAAACGGATGCTGATTTAAAAATTCTTGGAAGCCGTATTTATTGAAGTTAAGGAATAAGACTTGTTCTAAATTAAAGCTCAAAGCTTTCTCTTTACAACGGTGTATAATAATTGTTGGGTTGGATTGGAAAAATATTGAGAAAAAGAATGTTGAAGCAAAACTTACATTTTCGTATAACCTAAAAGTGTCAAAAAAAAGATGCTAATTTAAAAATTCTTGGAAGCCGTATTTATTGAAATTAAGGAATAAGACTTATTTTAAATTAAAGCTCAAAGCTTTCTTCTTAATATGATCTGTAATAATCACACCTAATAACCATTTATCATATTTTGAACAACAAAATTCAACAACACTACTTTTCACTAAACTTCTAACGTCACATCTGGACGAATAAGTTCTAGAGTGCGGATTGTGTCATTTTTTATACAGATTCTTTCTTGTGTAGTAGAAAGTACCGACATGACAGCTCTAAATGCGCCGAATAGATGATTCATTTATTAAAAGTTGTCTATTTGCCGATTTGTCGATTTCCATTTGCCAAATGGTGCATCCACGATATTTGAACTTTTCAGTGATCTTGCTGTTCTCTATCAAACTTGCGATGGCAGAAAGATATTTCTGCTAAATCCTTGAAAAGACACTTCAAGGAGAGAAGCACATGGGATATTTAGATAGGCTAACTAAATTCTGTTCCATTTAGCTATGCAGACAAAATTTTAAAAAATATTTCATGACATTACGAAAGCAGACACTATTCATTTTCGATCCTCATTTCAGTAATCTCTAATCACCTCGGGGCGGGTTGGAAAAGCGAAATCAAACAAGCATCATCGCCAGACAGAGAAGGATGAATAGAATATTGCCGAGACTACCAATACAGAGTATCAAAGCGACCGCAAATTTCCCATAGACAGCCTCCGGGAGAGCTTTTAAATTTTTCTCTTCACTCTAGCGCAATCTGTGAACGTCTTGCGAAACTCCCCGTTTCTTACATCGCATCTTAAAGGGTACGGAAAATAGGGGGCAGAAAAGTTCCCGGCTGAAAGTCGGAGCTTTTCTTAACGAGTGCGCGTTCGTAACGTTTCGTGGAACATCGCGAAAAATCAATACTCAAGGTAAGAATGTTTTTGTTGCAACTTGATTATAGAAGTATTTTTTTTGTTTATAATAATTTCTTTGTATAAATTAAAAAATTATTTTAGAGAAAAATTAAATCAATTTTTTGCGATTTGCTAAATTTAAAAGATGCAAAATCCGATCTTAGCGCGGTCCCAAGAAAGGGGGGAGTTTTAAGAGAGTATTTCTTTACGACGTTTGTCTCGTCTTAAAGTACACTCAAGTTTCTCCCCTAGACGTTAGAGTGCGTTGGTGAGAGCTTTTTTTCTTATCAAAAAAGCTCTCATTAAAGATATCGTTTATTGATAAAAAAAATTTATCGTTTTGTGTTATATATGATAAGTCTCAACACAAAACATTTTGGGTTAAAAGCTCTCCGTGTGGTTAATCGAAGCTCCAACGAGCTTTCATATTCCAGCGTCTCGACGCACCTTTCCTTGCGGTTGGTTTGCGGTTAGACTAGGCGTGGCTTTGCGGTTAGAAGACGATTTCCGATTGGCTGATATGGTTTGCGGTCGACGCATGTGGTCGATTATAACATTTTTATTGGGGAGCTTTCAAGTCCCTTTTGCGGTTGGGTTAAGATTTTCGCCTCGGATAGGTGCTGTTTTGCTTCTTTTCGACCAACCGTTAGTGTTGCGTTGGGAATTTTTCTCATTTTCAGTGATGTAATAAAAGAAGCTTTCAAAGCTTTTCCGAATGGACGGGGTCTAATTCTGGGGAATTTAGCGGGACCTTACGGATCTCGTTTCAATTACGGATTGTCCGCCGTATAAGCCGGTCGAGAGCTTTCGCGTGAGCTTTGATCTCTCCGACGGACTTGGAGTTCTTGCAGATGTCTTTCGGACCGTGCGGATCGATTGGCCGTAAAAGGGCTTCTCGTTTGATCTTAAAAAGGGCAAGGGCTAATGTATTCAGTTATACGTATGGGTTATGTGGAGCTTTCATTTTTTTATGTTAAGGGAAAAAATTCTCCACCTCCAGCTTTTTGTCTTCTTTCTCGTTGCTGCTGCTGCTGTCGTTGCGTTCCCAACAATAATTAAAAATTATGACCGCCAAACGGACGCGGACGTCGGGGATAGCACCATCCGGGTTGGGGGCGGAGGCGGCGGCGTCGGTAGTGGTGACGGTAGGGATGGGGTGAACCTCCCCTACGGCGAAACCCCCTCCTCCGCCACTTGCGGCTCCGCAGCGCGGCGAGCGGCGACCCGCGCAACTTCAATGCAAGATTTAATTAAATCCCAGTCTTGATTTATTGTCGCTTCCAGAGAATATCCTGGAAGCTGGCGGGGGTGGAGACGATGGAAGGGAACTTTCACCCCCGCCGCACCTTCCTTCCGTCCTTTGCTACCCAGTATTTCGAGCTGCTTCTTTCCACCCCCTTCACGACCACCCCGCATTCGTTCCTCTGGACCTGGGAGGGTGAGACGAAAATAGCAACCTCCAGATCAGCAATGCCTAAAAAATAGAAAAAGGGGGTACCGATTAGGGCAGAAACTTTAACTCAGTCGAATATTTTGTTTTAATTCTCAAAATAATTATAAAGTTTTGATTAAGTAATAATTTATATAACCCAGATATAGGCAGAACATTGCACACCACATATTAAAACTAGATATTGCTAATGTATGACCAGACTGCTTCTTATTCTGCTTATAAAATACTAGATACATGTTACAGATTATTAGATACAGCTGGCAGAAGACTATATATTGCTTACAGACGATTAGGTATTGTTGGCAGAAGACTAAATACTGATGCCAGAGGCCTTTATACTACTCCATTCCGATTCGCGGAATATGGAATGTCTGCAGCATAAAGCTAAATACTGGTAATAGAAGAAGAAGCTTTCCTTATATATCCTGCTAGCACAAGACTGCAAAGAAGACTACAAACAAGACTAGGAAAGTGAAAATAAAAAAATTAATTTCTCGTAAATCGTATTTTTAGGTTATAAAAGAAGTATTGAGGTTGGATTGTACCAAATTTTAAATTTCCAAGGTAAATAATTTCTAAGATAAAAATTTTTAAAAATCGCCCTATATTTGACCTAATAAAAATTCTAATAAAAATCAAATAACCGAAATTTAAGAAACGACTCTAATGTCAAATTGAACCTTAAACTGTCTTCTTTAAAATGATATATACGTGGTTGTTCCGACTTGAACTAGTTTTTATCAATGAATTTTTAAAAACAACCATGCAATATTAATTTTTGCTATAAGTAGAAAAAAAAATGTTAAAATTCAAAGAATCGTCGAAGCTTCATTTCTGAAATTTAAGAAATGAGTCTAATATCAAATTGAACCTTAAATTGTCTTCTTTAAAATGATATATAGGTGGTTTTTCCAATTTGAACTGATTTTTATCAATACATTTTTAAATACAACCGTGCAATATCGATTTTTTCTGTAAATAGCATAAAAGTGTTATAATTCAAAAAATCGTAGATTTATTTTCGAAATTTAAGAAACGAGTCTAATATCAAATTAAAGCTTAAATCGTCTTCTTTAAAATGATATATAGGTGGTTGTTCCGACTTGAACTAATTTTTATCAATGAATTTTTAAAAACAACCATGCAATATTAATTTTTGCTATAAGTAGAAAAAAAAAAGTTAAAATTCAAAGAATCGTCGAAGCTTTATTTTTGAAATTTAAGAAACGAGTCTAATATCAAATTAAAGCTTAAATCGTCTTCTTTAAAATGATATATAGGTGGTTGTTCCAACTTGAACTGATTTTGATCAATATATTTTTGAATACAACCGTGCAATATTGATTTTTGCTATAAGTAGAAAAAAAATGTTAAAATTCAAAGAATCGTGGAAGCTTCATTTTTGAAATTTAAGAAATGAGTCTAATATCAAATTGAACCTTAAATTGTCTTCTTTAAAATGATATATAGGTGGTTTTTCCAATTTGAACTGATTTTTATCAATACATTTTTGAATACAACCGTGCAATATCGATTTTTTCTATAAATAGCAAAAAAGTGTTATAATTAAAAAAATCGTGGAAGATTTATTTTCGAAATTTAAGAAACGAGTCTAATATCAAATTAAACCTTAAATTGTCTTCTTTAAAATGATATATAGGTGGTTTTTCCAATTTGAACTGATTTTTATCAATACATTTTTGAATACAACCGTGCAATATCGATTTTTTCTATAAATAGCAAAAAAGTGTTATAATTAAAAAAATCGTGGAAGATTTATTTTCGAAATTTAAGAAACGAGTCTAATATCAAATTAAAGCTTAAATCGTCTTCTTTAAAATGATATATAGGTGGTTGTTCCAATTTAAATTGATTTTTATTAATACATTTTTAAAAACAACACTGCAATTTTGATTTTATCATAAATAACAAAAAAATGTTAAAATTCAAAGAATCGTGGAAGCTTTATTTTTGAAATTTAAGAAGCGAGTCTGATATCAAATTAAAGCTTAAATCGTCTTCTTTAAAATGACATATAGGTGGTTGTTCCAACTTGAACTGATTTTGATCAATATATTTTTGAATACAACCGTGCAATATCGATTTTTTCTATAAATAGCAAAAAAGTGTTATAATTCAAAAAATCGTGGAAGATTTATTTTCGAAATTTAAGAAACGAGTCTAATATCAAATTAAAGCTTAAATCGTCTTCTTTAAAATGATATATAGGTGGTTTTTCCAATTTGAACTGATTTTTATCAATATTGATTTTTGCTATAAGTAGAAAAAAAATGTTAAAATTCAAAGAATCGTGGAAGCTTCATTTTTGAAATTTAAGAAATGAGTCTAATATCAAATTGAACCTTAAATTGTTTTCTTTAAAATGATATATAGGTGGTTATTCCAACTTGAACTGATTTTGATCAATACATCTTTAAAAACAACCGTACAATATTGATTTTTACTATAAGTAGCAAAAAAATCATAATTTCAACGTTTCAAACTTTGAAGAAATAACCTCGAATATCATAAACGTCAATTAAATTTCCTTTCAAATCCTTTTTATCTCAACTTGATATCTCAATTAATTCTTGAGATACGACTCTTTAAACATTGCCTTTTCTGATTAATATTTGTGATCGATATCAAAATAGTGTAACTTGGAAATTTGAAGATTTAAAGAGATGACCTTGAACGCGTTAAATATAGATTAAATTTGCTTTCAAATATTTTTTAAATCAAATCGATATCTCAATTAGTTCTTGAGATACGATCGTTTCAAGATTGATGTTTTTTAACTTAATCTCGGTGTTGGTAATTTAATCAAAAAATCATAATATCAACGTTTTAAACTTTGAAGCAATAACGTTGAACATCATAAAAGTCAATTAAATTTTCTTTCAAATGCTTTTTAAATCAAATCGATATCTTAATTAGTTCTTGAGATACGACTGTTTAAAAATTGGTACTTTTTAACTTAACCTCTGTGATGGTGATTGAGTCAAAAAATGATATCTTCAACATTTTAAGCTTTGAAGAAATAACCTTGAACATCATAAAAGTCCATTAAATTTCCTTTCAAATGCTTTTTATCTCAACTTGATATATCAATTAATTCTTGAGATAGGTCTCTTTAAATGTTGATGTTTAATAATACATTTTTAAAAACAACCGTCCAAAATCGATTATTACTATTATTACTATTATTAATGTATTAATCAGATATTAATCAGATATATTATTAGTATAATAATATAACCAAACCAAGTTATTCATTATTTTTTTTTTTAATTTTGCATAATCGTATTAATCGTAGGTGAGGTTATGAATAATAATTATAGAAATTTATTTTTGTATCAATAAAATGTTGTAAATATGATAGATTCATTATGTATTGTTGGCCGTTTACGTTTTTTATTGTATTTAATCCATGTAAAGTCGATACGAAGTAATTTTGTAGAATTTCGACAGTGACATAACCTCAAATTTCATTTTTCATTAATTTCTTATTGTAATTCATATTTGTCCAGTTGATATTATTGAAAATGATAATCTTAGCATCTCAAGGACGAAAACCATCCATTATATGGGAGTTTTGATGAAGAATTGGACGAAAATCCGTACATTAAATATTTGAATATATTTTTGAAGCTGGACGTTGAAATCTAAAAGAAAATGTTCCGAAATCAGCAAAATAAAGTTAAAGCAATAAAACTACAACATTTCGTGCATAAATATTGTTGAAATAGAATCTTTAATAATTTTTGATAAAATTTAATTGGTGACATTTGACATTTCAAAGTTGGTAGTACCGGAGAAATTTAAATTAAGAATTTCAAGTTGAAGAATTTAACCAATCAGAAAACGTTATTTGAAATGTTCTAGCAATAAACAAAAGAAATTGGTAGATTTTAGTGTGATTTCGAACGTGATGAGGAGTGCACGCTAATTTTGTCCGCGATTGTTTAAAAAACCACAACAAAAGTTAGGTTACTTGTCAATCACCATTGTGACATAACCTCAAAAATAGTAAAGTTATTGTTTAATAAGTTAAAATAAGAAGATTAATAAATAATAAACAAGAAAATAAACTCTTACCTGATCCAATTAATCCATTCCGAAGAATTATTTCAATCCAATCAAGAATCATTTTTACTGATTCCATTGAAGAGTCCAAGTTTCCTTATCCGAGAACTTCAATAATCTACAAGATAAGTTAAGTTATAATTTTCAATTTCATTATTATTCCTTGTTTTTATTTTAATTTTCTTTTGAAATTTCACTTACCTTAATTACGATTAATTTGAGTTATTATTTTGTTTGGTTATGTTATTACAATTTCATTACGTATCATTCAATTATTAAAACCGGTTAATTAATTTACTTCGTATTAACGACAGGTTAAAAGATAATATTATTAATTATTTCACTGAGAGTTTTGTTATTTATTTTTGTACGCATTTACTCAAGCGTTGAACCCACAAATAACCCTGAAGACTCACGCTTACCTTACCTGAGTCGTTTGACAAATTGACAACGTTGTAGAACAGTGTTGAAAGTTAAATTGAATTTAATTTTTTTTTATTGTTGTTTTATGTGTTTTTATTGTTATATTGATTTTAACTATAAGTAAGAAATAATGTTAAAATTCAAAGAATCGTGGAAACTTTATTTACGAAATTTAAGAAACGATTTTGGCATCAAATTAAACCTTAAAGTGTCTTCTTTAAAATGTTACATAGCTTGTTATTTCAAAAATAAAAATATGTGTAATCTGTTAAGTTTTAGATATTTGATGGTAAATTTGCTGATCCTTTTGCACTTAGGCGAAGTGACCACCATAACTATAATAATCGTTGGTGCATAATCCCCAGTTATGGTCCATCATGCCCGTTTGAGGGGGTGACTAAATTTTCCATAAAGCCCGCTCCATTAGTATCCAAATCCGGCATGCATAATACCTAATACGTTCTCCGGGCTTCCGTTCTTCCTCTGGCCGGCCATCTCCTTAATCTTGTGCGTTGCCATGAATACATAAACGCGGAATAAAGGCTCCGACCTTCTCGGATCTTAGACTGTGAATGTAATTACGAGTAGCAAGGGAAAGATTCACGATCTAACAGCGTTGTTTGCTCGGAACGTCTTTTAAAGTTTCTTACTAATTTTAAACCATTTGCTTATTAAAATGGGAACCAGCTTCGGCCCTCGACGGTGTTTGTGAGTTTTACAGCCCCTTTTGGAGGTTTTTATGTTGTATTGCCTTTGCGTTGGTTGTTTATCTTGGTCGTTGTGTAATTGTCGACATCGAAAACTCTTTTCTATTCTAAATATTAAGATTTTTGTGTGAATTTAAATGAAATAAAAACTTCGTCCACCCTTCGTTTTGCCATCAGTTAAAGACCTGGGCTGGTTTACCTATAAACTACCCTTAATTCCGACATCCCTCTAAATTACAAATCCCATTCTTCGAGCTTACTTTATTTTCCCTCTTTACCTTCGCGATCTCGAGGGCAGAGCGCGGAGGTTAACTAAATAACTACCCTATTACGTCCTGAGGGTAAAATCGAGGAACATCGGGGGTTGAAATCCGCCTTGTTACCGGGATTTTTGAGAATCCCTGATATGAAGCGAATTGAGAATTTACATATACAGCACTTTATGGTTTGTTTGGTATCTTCTCAACCCTCGGCAAACAATTTTGTAGCTTTATGACGCTGGATTTAAATTTAACGTGTTTTTTTTTTATAAGGAAATTTAACATAGTTGTAATTAATTAAATAACGCTGAAAAGAGCTGCGGCTGAAGTCGGAGTTGAAACGTCGAGAGGAGGGATCCTTGTTTATGCCCAACTCCCATTTCCACTTGCATAAATATCTTAATTGGTTCCTTTGATCGAAGCTTGAGCCGTTTGGGCGAGGCCCAAAACCAGAGCGGAAATACAGGAACGGCTGCTGCAACAGCAAATACAGAAGAGGAACACAAAAGAAAATTACACCGTCAGACGTTTGCGAGGAAAATTTTAATTAATTTTATACCAGAAAAGAACAAATTTCTTTTTTTAATCAATTTTTTATATTAACAAATTAATTTTTGTCTTTATCTTCAATGGAAATGAAAAAAAGTGATCCGAATTTTCCCCCTCCCTTACGTTTTGAGAAAAAAACAGTTTAAAATTTAATTTGTTTTTTAAATTTCGAAAATAAAGCTTCTACGATTCTTTGAATTTTAAAATTTTTTTGTTATTTATNGAGTCCAAGTTTCCTTATCCGAGAACTTCAATAATCTACAAGATAAGCTAAGTTATAATTTTCAATTTCATTATTATTCCTTGTTTTTATTTTAATTTTCTTTTGAAATTTCACTTACCTTAATTACGATTAATTTGAGTTATTATTTTGTTTGGTTATGTTATTACAATTTCATTACGTATCATTCAATTATTAAAACCGGTTAATTAATTTACTTCGTATTAACGACAGGTTAAAAGATAATATTATTAATTATTTCACTGAGAGTTTTGTTATTTATTTTTGTACGCATTTACTCAAGCGTTGAACCCACAAATAACCCTGAAGACTCACGCTTACCTTACCTGAGTCGTTTGACAAATTGACAACGTTGTAGAACAGTGTTGAAAGTTAAATTGAATTTAATTTTTTTTTATTGTTGTTTTATGTGTTTTTATTGTTATATTGATTTTAACTATAAGTAAGAAATAATGTTAAAATTCAAAGAATCGTGGAAACTTTATTTACGAAATTTAAGAAACGATTTTGGCATCAAATTAAACCTTAAAGTGTCTTCTTTAAAATGTTACATAGCTTGTTATTTCAAAAATAAAAATATGTGTAATCTGTTAAGTTTTAGATATTTGATGGTAAATTTGCTGATCCTTTTGCACTTAGGCGAAGTGACCACCATAACTATAATAATCGTTGGTGCATAATCCCCAGTTATGGTCCATCATGCCCGTTTGAGGGGGTGACTAAATTTTCCATAAAGCCCGCTCCATTAGTATCCAAATCCGGCATGCATAATACCTAATACGTTCTCCGGGCTTCCGTTCTTCCTCTGGCCGGCCATCTCCTTAATCTTGTGCGTTGCCATGAATACATAAACGCGGAATAAAGGCTCCGACCTTCTCGGATCTTAGACTGTGAATGTAATTACGAGTAGCAAGGGAAAGATTCACGATCTAACAGCGTTGTTTGCTCGGAACGTCTTTTAAAGTTTCTTACTAATTTTAAACCATTTGCTTATTAAAATGGGAACCAGCTTCGGCCCTCGACGGTGTTTGTGAGTTTTACAGCCCCTTTTGGAGGTTTTTATGTTGTATTGCCTTTGCGTTGGTTGTTTATCTTGGTCGTTGTGTAATTGTCGACATCGAAAACTCTTTTCTATTCTAAATATTAAGATTTTTGTGTGAATTTAAATGAAATAAAAACTTCGTCCACCCTTCGTTTTGCCATCAGTTAAAGACCTGGGCTGGTTTACCTATAAACTACCCTTAATTCCGACATCCCTCTAAATTACAAATCCCATTCTTCGAGCTTACTTTATTTTCCCTCTTTACCTTCGCGATCTCGAGGGCAGAGCGCGGAGGTTAACTAAATAACTACCCTATTACGTCCTGAGGGTAAAATCGAGGAACATCGGGGGTTGAAATCCGCCTTGTTACCGGGATTTTTGAGAATCCCTGATATGAAGCGAATTGAGAATTTACATATACAGCACTTTATGGTTTGTTTGGTATCTTCTCAACCCTCGGCAAACAATTTTGTAGCTTTATGACGCTGGATTTAAATTTAACGTGTTTTTTTTTTATAAGGAAATTTAACATAGTTGTAATTAATTAAATAACGCTGAAAAGAGCTGCGGCTGAAGTCGGAGTTGAAACGTCGAGAGGAGGGATCCTTGTTTATGCCCAACTCCCATTTCCACTTGCATAAATATCTTAATTGGTTCCTTTGATCGAAGCTTGAGCCGTTTGGGCGAGGCCCAAAACCAGAGCGGAAATACAGGAACGGCTGCTGCAACAGCAAATACAGAAGAGGAACACAAAAGAAAATTACACCGTCAGACGTTTGCGAGGAAAATTTTAATTAATTTTATACCAGAAAAGAACAAATTTCTTTTTTTAATCAATTTTTTATATTAACAAATTAATTTTTGTCTTTATCTTCAATGGAAATGAAAAAAAGTGATCCGAATTTTCCCCCTCCCTTACGTTTTGAGAAAAAAACAGTTTAAAATTTAATTTGTTTTTTAAATTTCGAAAATAAAGCTTCTACGATTCTTTGAATTTTAAATTTTTTTGTTATTTATGTTGTTTTTAAAAATGTATTGATAAAAATCAATGTGTTTCATGAGGAATGGTACATATGTTAATATGTTATAGATTTATTCATTTTAAGCAGAAAAGTTCCTAAAAACATGTCACATAACTTTTCTAATACTAGACGAACTATCAACTACACTACAAACCTCCCTGTATCATGCTTAGCTTGCGGGGAAATAGGACACCAGGCATGGTCAATTCATAAACCGATGTCAATCCATGACTACATAATTGACACATACATATACGAATTGAATAAGCCAAAAAATCAGAGCAGAAATGAACTAATAAAAAAACTAAGAGCTCGTTTCGCGGACCAATTCCAGATAGATACCTTTGTCAATATATCTGGCATAAGCACGGTTGCCAGATATAGTAATGCTGATAATGACGCGCCACCAGCAACAATTCTGTAATTGGAAAAATCTACGAAAGTATCCTTAACTCCAGAATTCTTCACCTTATCAAAGACAAAATCCCTATATACCAATTCGGCTTCAAACAGAAACAATTAACAATCCATCCACTCATTATTCTCACAAATAACATACAAATAACGAATCTACATCACCGAAAAACCGCGATCTTATTTCTTGACATAAATAAAGCCTTCGACGCAGTCTGGCACCAGGGCTTTCTATACAAGATGTATAAAACCTACACCCTACCTGAAAGTTATAGATGAATATCTTCGCGACAGGATACTGAGCATCAAAATTAATAATGCTTTCTCCCCTCTCCAAGGACTACCTCAAGGATCCCCAATTTCACCTACCCTGCACAACGTCTACTGCTATGATATATAATTGATATAACTATATTGATCCGGGTAGCTACATACTTCATACGTAGGTGACACAACACTAATATCGCATGGAAAAACAACATATCATCATGGTTCCACAAATGGAAAGTCACCCCCAATCCGGACAAATTCAAACTATTGATTCCACACTCTAGAATCACCAATCAATCCCAGCACATCACAACAGGCACATCAATTACAAAACCTACAACCTTGGTCAAATATTTGGGCATAACCCTGGACAACAAGTTAAAATTCAAAGCACACTACAAAAAAATACAAACAGAGGTAACAAGAGGAGCAAAACTCGGCGACACAGATTTATAAAAGTATATGCCGACCACTCCCTATATGTTCCCCGGAGTCAACAAAGGAAG